AAACAAAGCAAATGACTATTTACACTAGGTAAATTCCATAACTTAATTCACATACATACTGTATAAGCAAATATTTACATTGTTAAAGCAGCACCATCATAAAAATAAACAAACTATAATTACAATAACAAACTTAATTTGACCTTGGTGAAGTTATTTTTAAAGACTCAAATACAGGTGACCCCTAAATGGCAGGTGCACAGTGACAGGTGTGTACTGTACTTGCTGTTATCGTTGGTAACCCAGTTGTTCTCATAAAATAAAAATCTGTTTTTTTTTTTTTTATCTTTGACATTGACATGGCCCCTTATGCTGTAGCAGCCTAGGGATTAATTGGCATTGAAGAAGCACAAGAATCCAAGTAAAAAGTCTGTACATCTTGGGGTTTAGCTGTAGTGGCCCAGAGAACAAGTGTTTTTAGTAGAAATGAGGTAAGATACCACACGAGAATAACTTTATCAATGTTTTATCAATGAAAATAATGTGTTGAATCAAGAAAATGTTCAGAACTTTCGTTTCATTTTTCTAGTGGATAGTAATGTGTTCACATGGCCTTCCTCCTACCACCTTAACCGGTGACTTGAAACGGCTCTGGCGAGGTTACGTATTGGCCATACACGTTTCAGTGATGAGCATTTAATGGAGCACCACCCTGCTACTTATCCAAACTGCATTATACCTCTTATGGCCGTGCATATCCTTGTTGAATGTCCGGACTTGCAGGACGTGCATGTGTCTTGCTTCCTGACCACTTTGACTGGACGGTAGAGCGACGGTCGCTTCGTGCAGGTCGGCGTTCAATCTTCAACCGTCCTAGTGATTGGGCATTATTCCTTCTTTCCTCCCCACCCCCCTTACTGTCCTGTCTCAAATCCTTATCCTGACCCTTTCAAAGTGCTATAAAGTCGTAATGGCTTCTCGCTTTCCCCTGATAATTAAAAAAAAATTAAATTGCTTTCCAACCGTCCCTCACGGACACTTTTCTTGTCCCTCGACAGAATTCTTGGTGAATCAGACACCCTTGATATCTTCGCATTATGCGCTTTTGTTCTTGTATTGGCATCCTTAATGATATTTAGGGCCATATGAATATCCCACACATTTGATGGTACTCTACTACATAGCCTTCCCGACTTGGTGCGTTCTTTTGATAATTACTTACAGTACTTTCCTAGTGGATACTTATGCATGCATGTATGTATTCATACATACATACATATGTCTAACATACAGTTAGACAGTGGCACCAAGCTGCTTCCTGGCATGCGTGTGTACTCACCTATTTGTGCTTGCGGGGGTTGAGCTTTGGCTCTTTGGTCCCGCCTCTCAACTGTCAATCAACTGGTGTACAGATTCCTGAGCCTACTGGGCCCTATCATATCTACATTTGAAACTGTGTATGGAGTCAGCCTCCACCACATCACTGCCTAATGCATTCCATCCGTTAACTACTCTGACACTGAAAAAGTTCCTTCTAACGTCTCTGTGGCTCATGTGGGTACTCAGTTTCCACCTGTGTCCCACCAGTGTTGAATAGTTTATCCTTGTTTACCCGGTCGATTCCTCTGAGGATTTTGTAGGTTGTGATCATGTCTCCCCTTACTCTTCTGTCTTCCAGTGTCGTAAGGTGCATTTCCCACAGCCTTTCCTCGTAACTCATGCCTCTTAGTTCTGGGACTAGTCTAGTGGCATACCTTTGAACTTTTTCCAGCTTCGTCTTGTGCTTGACAAGGTCCATGCTGGGGCCGCATACTCCAGGATTGGTCTTACGTATGTGGTGTACAAGATTCTGAATGATTCCTTACACAGGTTCCTGAACGCTGTTCTGATGTTAGCCAGCCTCGCATATGCCGCAGACATTATTCTTTTTATGTGGGCTTCAGGAGACAGGTTTGGTGTGATATCAACTCCTAGATCTTTCTCTCTGTCCATTTCATTAAGTACTTCATCTCCTATTCTGTATCCTGTGTCTGGCCTCCTGTTTCCACTGCCTAGTTTCATTACTTTGCATTTACTCGGGTTGAACTTCAACAGCCATTTGTTGGACCATTCACTCAGTCTGTCTAGGTCATCTTGTAGCCTCCTACTATTGTCCTCAGTTTCAATCCTCCTCATAATTTTTGCATCTTCGGCAAACATTGAGAGAAACGATTCTATACCCTCTGGGAGATCATTTACACATATCAGAAACAGTAAAGGTCCAAGGACTGACCCCTGCGGGACTCCACTCGTAACGTCTCGCCAATATGAGACCTCACCCCTCACACTGACTCGTTGTCTCCTGTTGCTTAGGTACTCCTTTATCCAATGGAGTACCTTCCCTTTCACTCCAGCCTGCATCTCCAGCTTTTTCACTAGCCTCTTGTGTGGCACTATATCAAAAGCTTTCTGACAATCCAAAAATATGCAGTCTGCCCACCCTTCTCTTTCTTGCCTGGTCGTAGAATTCAAGTAACCCTGTGAGGCAGGACCTGCCATCCCTGAACCCATGTTGAAGCTGTGTTACAAAGTTCTTTCGCTCCAGGTGCTCCACTAGCTTTCTTCGCACAATCTTCTCCATCAGCTTGCATGGTATGCAGGTTAGGGACACTGGCCTGTAATTCAGTGCCTCCTGTCTATCCCCTTTCTTGTATATCAGGACTACGTTAGCTGCTTTCCAAATTTCTGGCAATTCCCCTGTTGCCAGTGATTTGTTATACACTATGGAGAGTGGTAGGCACAGTTCTTCTGCTCCTTCCTTTAGTATCCAAGGGGAGATTCCATCTGGGCCTATAGCCTTTTGTCACATCCAACTCTAGTAAACACTTCCTTACTTCCCCGCTGGTAATCCCCGCTGTGTGTGTGTGTGTGTAATTACCTAAGTGTAATTACCTAAGTGTAGTTACAGGATGAGAGCTACGCTCGTGGTGTCCCGTCTTCCCAGCACTCTTTGACATATAACGCTTTGAAACTACTGACAGTCTTGGCCGTCAGTAGTAGTGTGTGTGTAAGAGAAAAAAATTAGTAGTAACAGTTGATTGACAGTTGAGAGGTGGGCCAAAAGGGCAGAGCTCAACCCCCGCAAGCACAACTAGGTGAATACATACATGGAGGGAGGGGGGGCTAGTGGCTGAGTGGACAGCACTCTAGGCTCGTGGACCTAGGGACCGGGGTTCGATCCCAGCACCGCTGGAAAACCAAATGGGTACAGTTTCCTTTCCCTGATGGCCCTGTTACCTAGCAGTAAATAGGTACCTGGGAGTTAAACAGCTGCTACGGGCTGCTTCCTCTGTGTGTGTGTGTGTATTCACCTAGTTGTGCTTTTGGGGGTTGAGCTCTGCTTTTTCGGCCCGCCTCTCAACTGTTTCTACTACTACTTCCCTCCCCCCCCCACAACACACACACCCCAGGAAGCAGCCCGTAACAGCTGACTAACTCCCAGGTACCTATTTACTGCTAGGTAACAGGGGCATAGGGTGAAAGAAACTCTGCCTATTGTTTCTCGCCGGTGCCCGGGATCGAACCCAGGATCACGTGCCCAGCGTGCTGTCCGCTCGGCCACCGGCTCCCCTCGGCCACACACCGGTGTGGGGGGGGGGGGTGCGCGCGTGCGTGTTGAAAACAAAAATAGTAGTTGGTAACAGTTGAGAGGCGGGCCGAAAGAGAAGAGCTCAACTCCCGCAAGCACAACCAGGTGAATACATACATTACAAGGGCTTGTGGCTGAGTGGTCAGCATGTTAGATTCGTAGTCCTATGGTCCGGGGTTCGATTTCCCGCGCCGCCGGAAAGATAAAAACATAAGAACAAAGGTAACTGCAGAAGGCCTATTGGCCCATACGAGGCAGCTCCTATTTATAACCACCCAATCCCACTCATATAGACCATTTGGTCACCATTTGGTCCGGAGACATCTCCCGTCACGCAGGGTGCAGTTGCGCCTCCACAGATCTCCGGTATCATCTTTTGATACTGGTAATGGCTCAAAAGGGCCACCACTTACGGGCTATTCATGCCCGTGCCACCTCTTGGGTGGCTTAATCTTCATCAATCAATCTTCATCACTCATATACATGTCCAACCCACGCTTGAAACAATCGAGGGACCCCACCTCCACTACGTTACGCGATAATTGGTTCCACAAATCAACAACCCTGTTACCGAACCAGATATGGGCAGAGTTTCTTTTACCCTGATGCCCCTGTTACCTAGCAGTAAATAGGGCTGCTTCCTGGGCGCGTGTGAAAAAAAAGTTTGACAGTTGAGAGGCGGGCCAAAAGAGCCAGAGCTCAACCCTCGCAAGCACAACTAGGTGAATATATATATAGGTGAATACATACATGTCCCTCTTATATGTAGGTATGTATTACCACATATATAGGACAACGGGCTCACCGTACCCCGTGCTGCTTGAAACTTGTTTACAGTAGCTGAATCTAAAACAAATTAAATTTAAATTTTGTCCCAAAGGGCGAGTGTATTGGGCAGCGCTAAAACAAGCACAACAGTACATTTTTAACTGTTAATAATATTATATTGTGTATTTAATATTGACCAATTATTTATACAAAACGTTTAAATTTTAGTTCAAAATCAAATGAAATCAAATGTTTATTCAGGTAAAGTACATACATACAAGATGAGATACAAACATTGATGGGTTTATAGATAGAGCAAGTTTTTAGTTAGTTTAGTTCATTTATTATGCACCCCATACCCATCTTGTGGGCGATAGTGGAAAGGATTACAGAGGCACATAATGGGCTCAGAGACTGAACCCCACAATTCATTTAGCTAAGCAAGTTACAATCTTGATGAGCTAGTTACAAAATTCAATATAAGTCGTCACGTCAACAATGGGTTCGAGATCAACCTCAAGTACAGGTTCTAAATTAAGCAACTGACATATATGGAGAGCTAGTACATACAAAGTTCGTAACATAAATATAGGATGTGTGGAGCAGAGGTCGGAGTGGCAGGCAGGACTCTGCCTCGGGAGTGAACACCACGCTGGTGGTAAGGACGCACGTGGTACCTACAGTGTCTTCTTAACTCCGGTTCTTGTACCCTGCCTCCTTCTCTACAGTTAATCGTCCTCACTTTGGAGGGGGCGCTTTATCGTCCCTTATTTCAGCAGCTTTCAGGACGTTGCCCCTTTTAGGGATTGAGCCTCGCTTTGCTGGTTTGGCCATCACGTCTTGTAAAGGGTTGGTACAAGTCTCCCCGTGTACACAGGTCTCCCCCCGTGTACACAGGTCTACCCCGTGTACTCAGGGGCCCCCGTGTACAAAACACCAACCACAACACATTTTAAACCCAACCCAACTGTTCTGAAAAATTGAAAAATCTTTGTTGAAATGCCCGTGTATGATTTAAGCATACCCCATACCTCTGTGTTTCAACAAAACTTGTCTTCTAATTGTTAAACCCTTGTGTATCGGTAGGTTAGGGTGGGTTAGGAAATATAAGGTTTGTTTTGTTTGGTTAATAAAGGCAGCGTTGGGCATAAGCCATGTTCCCTGCCAACCATTAGGCTAGGTTGGGTTGAGTTAGGCAGATTTAATAAAAACATTGGTGAAATGTCTTTGGTACAAAGTTAACTATTCATTCTAAAGACCAATAGTAACAAAATTAAGTTTAATTGAAGTGTAATTTGAAAACATACTATTAACACATGGCATAGTAAATGTGTGCAATATACAAGTAACATCGTAACCAAGTTGGTGTGCCAACAGATTTTGAAACCTACTTTGCTTTACCTAATCTAATCAAACAGCCTAACTTAGAGATACTGTTCATATATACACATAATTAAGAACGCTTTTCGAACCGACAGGATACGATCCCCTGCTGCCTAGAATCACCCCCTGGCATGCAGGGTTATCTTGAGATGATTTCGGGGCTTTTTAGTGTCCCCGCGGCCTGGTCTTCGACCAGGCGTCCACCCCCAGGAAGCAGCCCGTGACAGCTGACTAACACCCAGGTACCTATTTTACTGCTAGGTAACAGGGGCATAGGGTGAAAGAAACTCTGCCCATTGTTTCTGGCCGGCGCCTGGGATCGAACCCAGGATCACAAGTCCAGCGTGCTGTCCGCTCGGCCGACCGGCTCCCTTCACAGGGAACCACAACCACTTCACAATTGATCTAGTGGTTGTGGTACGCTGTATGCCAGGGCTGGGGGGGCGATCCTGGGCAGCAGGGATTCAAATCCTGGATGGGTCGAGAGCTTTCAGAGCTTTATGACTTATGCATTCATGCAGCTTTTGTGTCAGACATATACATACATATATACACAATCCTCCGAAACCTTTTGATCCCTGAAGGATTCAAACCCGTCAGTCAGGGTCTCCATGCCCCCAGCAGTCCAGTTCTATAACCACTAACCAGCGACTGTTGAAGGATTCGACCGGGTTCGAATCCTTCAGAGGTCAAGAGTTTTTGGATGTATATTGGTTTGGGGACCATTCATGCTTTACGCACACTTGATGCTCATGTTTGTATTACTTCACTTACTTTCTGAATGTTTTCTCAGTGATGTGATGATGATAGTCACCGGTTCCCTGTGCCTCCGTGAAGGTTGTGCTCAGTAAGCCATACAGGATGCCTATGGCTGATGTGATTCAGTAGATTGAGTGACCTGGCTGATTGCATACAAGCACATGAACCCTGTTTGACCCTGAAATGATAAGCAGATTGCCTTTAAACTTGAGGCTTCACAGTGGAATCAATATTGCCAAGGGTTAGGCACCGTAACAGAAAGCCGGCCTTTCAGAGACAGTCTCCTAAACTCTCCAGAAAAATCAATTTCTGATTTGGCCAGGCAAACCCACCATCAGTGAACACCTAAGCACATTCAGTTGTAGACGAACAGTTAATCAGAGCTCACGTAAGTGATTAGGTATAAATACTAGTGCATCATGAAACACATACTAAAATATACAAATTCATAAGGAAATGCTTCCCATAAGGTCAGCATACATATGAAAAACCAGAACATGCAGGGCACTTGGGCATAAAAAAGGAGCATTACAGCGAACATAATTAAACAGGCATCGGGCATACATCTGAAGTATAGTTGGTGGTTCAAGGAGAAAGATACACAACCACAGGTGGAACTTGCATCAGAATTGCCTCACTATCAGTGGTTTGTTAATCTCAAGGCTTTGCTGTTATATTTTCTATGGTTTACCTGGCTGTCATCTGTTTCGACTCAGACCCCCCCCCCCCTCTTTCTAGTGGCTTTTCTTGTTAGGGTGATATACAGACCCCTGTGCCTGTCACCTCTATAGTGGTAGGCTTATTTATGATTTCCTATGTCTTGAGTGGATTCAGTTGGATGGAGCTTGTCAGACAGCATCAAAGAACTACTTAGCCCTCTCACAAAATTTTAGCAGGTAAAATAATACTATACATGTATAGTATTAATACTTTGCCCTTTGGTCGTCTCACTCTTCAGTTTACAACAACTTCTAGATTTGATTTATAATGACTAAATTTTAAATACTTGTAATGTAATTACAGTACCTGTATATTTTTTTCAGAACTGAGAAATCCTGATACAGTATATTATCAGATTTAAAAGTTTTCATAGAAGTACAGTGCAGTACATTACAAAATGGGAAGCCGTGATTCTCGCCGCATCCTGGGACCAGAAAAAAGTGTACCATATTCCCTGCTACAGACACAAAAAAGGAAATGTTTCTTAGGAGAAGACAGTTTGCGATGGGATGGGCGCTCAGCCATTGATCCTAGGAAACTCTGTAAGCATGTTTATTTGTTTACACATTTTTAAAATTACATTTATCTTATTAAGGATATTTATAATTGTTACATTTTTAATACAATTTACTGTAATGTTGCATATTTACTGTAGTAGTTTACATAGATTAACTAAGATGTCATTAATATCCAGAATTTTAGATGATATTTTGAGCACTGTATTGAAGTTTTTAAATCAATATTTTCATAATCTCATTTTCTGTTTTCATGGGGTTGGGAGACATCAGTCGAGAGAAGATAGCAAAGCAGCATAAGAGAAGGTTACAGATATTAAAAATGATAAAACCCATCTATGTACTATATCTTACACCCAACAAACTGTATCCAACACCCCACATTGTATCGTGGAACAAAACATCCAAACTGCACAAAAGCAAATCACCCACAGTAGTGTATCTCTTTCTTGGGGAGTACTGGGGACCAGAACCTGGCCCCCCCCCCCTCACAGAGGTGACACTCACCACACTGTAATGCTAGATGTTTGTAACACTAAATTATTGTAAACTATACACTTGGCCACTGAACTCTGGTAACACTTGATTGAAGTAACCCTTGAAATACTAGATTGGTATATAACACTGGTAATTGTTATAACAATTACACACACACACACACACACACACACACACACACACACACACACATATATATATATATATATATATATATATATATATATATATATATATATATATATATATATATATATATATATATATATATATATATATATATATATATAATTAATTAATTAATTAATTAGTATGAATAAGTACATGTCTGTATATCTATACGGTACTAGTATATCCATACATACAGTACAGTACTTATATTTTCAAAGTTATATGTAATAAACAGTTCCTTTGACACATAAATGCAACCTGTTTAGCATGAAAAACTAAAAAAATAAAGTGAGGAAAAAATGAAAATATATCAACAAAGTTATTCCCATGCAGCACCTCACCTTATTTCTACCCAAAAAAATGCAACTTCTCCAGGCCACTACAGCCAAAATTCAAGAGGAAGATATATTTTAGTTGGGATTTTTGTGCTTTTGTAGGTAAATTAACAATGTCATAAGACAAATAATTTTGTCAGATTTTTTCTTGTTCACCATGGGGATGCAAGATTAACAGATGGAATCAAATTAACATGCAGATGAGCCCAAGGGTTAAAAGTAAAGACTGCCATGCTCTCCCATTTCTACTTTTGCTTTGATTGCTTGCCTCCAGGTTTTGAATGACCATTCAGGTTTCCTTCAGTCCATAATCCATAAGCACTATAATTACTAATGACTTTAACTTTCCATGCATTCTGGTTATTCCAGTAGAGTATCCAAAGGCTGCTCGCTGAATTACATAAAATAATGTATTGCAGATACTTTGCTGATATTTAGTGCAACAGTCCCAATGAAATTTTTCATTATTACATTTAGAACACCGTAGAACAGTCAGCTTGGGTCTCAGGCTTGGCTTCATCAGAGTGCAAAGTACAGGTATAGCTACAAAGAACTTTATTTTTAAGGTATTGTGGGCTGTAATTTTGTTAATTAACTGTAGAATTGTCTTTCAGTCATGAGTGTGGGAGTGATTAGTCAAGCAAAAGGATCATCATACCTAGAGGTTGGAAACACCAAAGTTTGTTGTGGTGTATATGGCCCTATGGATGTACAAAGAGGATCCGACTTCAACATGTCTTGCAAGGTTAGTGTATTTAATTAATGTGTTAAATTTTAGCATATGTATAATTTTGTTTAATTTTGTATAATAATTATGTAATGGTTCTACATACCTGACCAGTCCAGCAACGAGGATGTCTGGTCGATGACCGGGCCGCGGGGTTGCTAAGCCCCGAAATCACCTCAAGGTAACCTTGGCATGTATAATTAATTTCAGAGTTTTCTGCACTAAAAGCCTAAAAATTATAAAAATGGTTTCAGTACAAGTAACTGAAAACAGGACAAAACAAAAAATCCTGTGTTTTTTTTTTTTTTTTTTTTTTTTTTTTTTTTTTTTTAATATTATTTTACATTTCTTTTATAGCTTTCAATTTTTCTCTCTGAATTGTACAAAATATTCACAGTTTTGAGCTAACATATTTGGAATAAATAAAGCATTATCTTGAGATGATTTCGGGGCTTTTTTAGTGTCCCCGCGGCCCGGTCCTCGACCAGGCCTCCACCCCCAGAAAGCAGCCTGTGACAGCTGACTAACACCCAGGTACCTATTTTACTGCTAGGTAACAGGGGCATAGGGTGAAAGACACTCTGCCCATTGTTTCTCGCCGACGCCTGGGATCGAACCCAGGACCACAGGATCACAAGTCCCACGTGCTGTCCGCTCGGCCGTCAGGCTCCCATTGAGTTTAGTGAAATATACCTTTCTATAATTACTGAAGGAGGCTACACTTTTTGTGTTAACTTTAATTAAAGCTTTCAATATAACACTAGGGACAGGAGAGCTCCTGGAAATAGGGAAAATTGTTAATGTACAGTAGTTCCATTATTCAAGAGAGGGGATAGATATTATGCAGTAAACTGTAGACCAGTGCCACTAACATGCATCCCATGCAGACCTCTGGAAAAAGTCACCAGGGAAAGATGTAATGGAACACTTACTTTATTTATATAGTGCACCATAGACATGCTTAAAACAAAAGAGTAAATTTCAAAACATTGGGAACAACACAGTCAAAGGGCAAAAATTATGCCAATAATCTTGATTGAATTCTTTGACAAACTCCTCAAAATAAGGCAAGAAAATGATGGATGGTTAGAGTACGTCTTCTTAGTCTGCTGGAAAGCTTTTGATACAGTTCCTCACAAAAGACTAATACACAACATGTGGGGAGGTAATCAAAGATAATGGGAAAGACAGTGAACTGGATAAAAGAGTATCTGATGGACAGAAAACAAAAGGTTTGGAGGGGATATATAAGGCTGGAGAACAATTATAAGTGGGGTTCCCTAGGGCTCGTAGAACCGTTGCTCTTTCTAATTTATGTTAGCGACTTACCAGAGGAAGTTACCTTGTAAATGTTTTTTTGCAGATGATGCAAAGCTAATGAGAGTAAGAATTGAGGTGGGCTGTGGAGTATTGCATTAAGACTTTGACAGACTTCATGAATAAATATGTATATATGCTGTTGTTGGAATTTAATCCAAATGTAGGGCAGTGAAGCTGACAAATGGAGATAGAAGACTTGTAGGAAACTAAACAATAAGGGTTAGATAACTACAAGAAATTTTAAAAGACAAAATTCTGTGGAGTGAATATTATTTAAACACTTAACATCAAATGCTCATGTCAACAGGATAACTTTACCTGCATATGGGAAGTTGGCAAACATTTAAAACTCTAAACAGCGACACTTTCAAGTCTTATACATAATACCTATATGAAAATTATGCTGGAGTATGCATCACTTGCATGGAATGTGCAACTTCATGAAACACACACAAGGATCATTCAGAAAGTCCAGAGGTTTATAACAGATTTGTACCAGAATTGATAACTCAACTATGAGGACAGGTGAAGGGAATTTACCCTCACAACATTAGAGGAATAGAGGAGAGAAAGCAGAAGGGATATCATCACTACGGTACATAAATAGTTCAGTACAAAGGCAGAACAAGGGTACATCAGTGATAGCTGAATATGCACTTGAGTCAGACATAAGGAGATGCTCATATCCAGTACAAGTGGTCAGCAAATGTAATACTGTAAATTGAAAGTAGTAGTAATCAAAGCCACTTCCATCCACAACTTAAGAAAAAATATGACAGAACCTGAACATCGAGATGTAATTATTTTGCTAGATTTAAAAGACTATGATACAGGACATAAAGAACTAGATCTTGCTTCCATGCATGAGCTTGAGGGGTGGCAGTTGCTACACATAACCCCAAGATGTAATAAAAAAGCATAACACCAGATATCTACCTAATCTCCCACGTCCTCACCCTGTTGTGTTACCTGGAGATATTTTACTTTGTCCTGATGTGTCTTTTTTTAAGTGAAATTAACTGTAAATATACATAATTGTGTGTGCTAATTGACTACTGTTCATGTGTTTATCTTTTATTGCTTGATTGCATTATCACAAAGTGAAATTATATTTGATTTGCTTCTCATTGCCAATAAAATAATTCAAAAATTGACTTGGCTCTGTAAAACTTGTTTATATTTTCATGCAAAACGGAATATTCATAGCTTCATATCAACAGGTCTTGTGTGAAGTCAAAATGGCCCCATTCTCTTGTTCTGTGCGACGGTCACCACAGCCTGACAAGCAACAGAGAGAGATGAGCAGACAACTGAAAGATGCTTTGGAAACTGTCATTGTACTTGTGAGTGATGGCTTTTTAGTTTGCAGTTGCTATTGTACTGCATTATTAATCATAAACATGTGACTGTCATCAAAGGTGCCCCACTGTCTACAAACAAACAAAAATTTTCCCCTATAAAAAGTTACATTTCCATGCAAAAGTAAGGAAAATTTTAAAACAAATATCCAAGTACAGTACTAGTATTTTCTGGTTTTGTGCACATCGGGAGGGTGCTGGGCAAGGGGACGGGGGGGAAGTCTATGTCTGCCATCTATCAGGTCAGGCACCCAGAAAAGTATGACTCCCAAAACAAACTACAGCTGGTTAAAAATTGCAAACTGAAAGCCAAACGAGCACGCAGAACTCCCCAATCAGAAAACAAGCAAACAAGTATGATGTCACCACAGTTGCCACGCCGCTGTCTGAGCAGCTTCCCCTCCCCCCCTCCCAGGGAGGGGGAAGGCGCTTCTTTTCCTTATTGGAGCTGTCTTCGGACTGACTCGTGGAGGAGCTGGGTTCTGGGCCAGCATCCGGTGCGCTTGCCTCGGTGGCTCGGGTGTTGGCTGCCTTGCTGAAGTTGTTTGCACCGATTCTGAAGGAAGCGGTGTCTCTGTTCTTTGCTTCTCGCCTCGCATGCCGACAGGCAGTGCTCATCCACTCCTTGGAATCTGCTTAGGCCCTGGCTCTTAGATGTTCATTCCCTTTTTGTCTGTTGCTGTTTGCAGAGTCTGTGGTGGTGCATTTTCTGCAGGCAACTTCGTCTAGTTGCCAGCCTGTGTTTGACTTATTGGTTCTCCAGTCCTACCCGGAAGGGTCATTCCAGGGGTCTGGGCTCCTTCGGTCATTGTAAGCCAGTAGTGCCAGATTTGGTGCCGGCCTCTCCCGTGGAGCTGTCAGTGTCTGGTCGGCGTAGTGCTCACTCTGAGCATCGGTCAGGCTCTCGTAAGGGTTGTCGACCCCTTTTGCGTTTCGCTCCATTGACAGGACCATGTGGGGGGAGGCTCGGGCTGTTTGCTATCCCTTGGTCCCACAATTCGTGGGCATTCCAGAAGTTCTACTGGACTTACTTGGATCCTGCAGTCTCTCTGAGACACAAACCAGGGTTTTACACAACTCCCCTATGCACTCGAGCTATGTCAATAGGCCGTTCTACCTCTTCGCCCTTACATCCCTTACGCCCTTACAAATCCTTACTTACTACCTTACTACCTTCGCCCTTACTTACGCCCTTACAAATCCCCTTGTGGATTTGTTCATTGATGCATCACGCTATTGTGATTTCTGTGTGTAATGAGACTGCTGCTTTCCGGACGGGTCCTTGGGTTGTTGATGGTTGGTTGGTTCGGCCGGGGGTGCATCATGTTCTGTGTCCGGTTGCGGATCATCGCCATTACTTGTGCACCAAGGCCTCCGTGGCAGGGGACGCGCTTTGGGTCGACCTGGTTTTGCTTCTTCTCTGTTCCAGATCGGGGGTCTCTCAGGTCATCTGAAGGATTATTCGGTCCTGCCAGCCTGTGGTCTATCCCTGTACCCATGACTTTCGTAAGTTCACGGCTTTGGTTGTTGTTTTTGGTCATATGTCCTGGGCTGACATTCAGGCACGGGGCTTTTGGAGGTCAAACAGGGTCTTGGCCGCATGGTACCTCGTTAATGTTCCTGGCCCTTCTCGGGCATGTGTAGCCTTGGATCACAGGTTGCAGCCAGTTGTCTCAACTTTGAGTTGAGGAGCGAGTGGCGGCAGCCTTCCGGGTTAGTCCCTCTTTCACTTTATCTTTGATTAGGTAGCTCTGGGGAGTCGAAGGAGCTCTCCACAGAAAACCATTGTTGAATGTAGGGAAACGCGATTTTCTGGGTGAGACCCAGAAGCTCCTAGGCATCCCTCCCTCCAGTCGGCAGTTTTTTGAGTTTTTTGTATTCAGCCTCTGAACTGGGGTTGGGTAGCAGGTGTAGTAGGTCTGGGGCCCCCACCTTCTCCCCCCCCCCCCCTCCCTGGGATGGGGAAGCTGCTCAGACAGCAGCACGGCGGCTGTGGTGACGTCGTGCATGTTTGCTTGTTTTCTGATTGGGGGAGTTCTGATTGCTCATTCAGCTTTCGAATTGCAATTTTTAACCAGCTGTAGTTTGTTTTGGGATTCCTACATTTCTGGGTGCCTGACCTGGTAGATGGCAGACATAGACTGCTTCCAACTACATTAGGGTGTCTATTGGCCAATTGCTCCTTGAAGGGGCCAGGTTCTGGCTTGTGTTCCCCGGTAAGCTAGAACTCCATCGATTGACTGTTGCCACGGTCTAATACATACACATCAGCCCGGTATAGCTCCGGGAGCCTCTGGGTCTTGTCTAGAAAATGACATTTCATTACATTCAATGCTGTTTTTTTTTGTTTATATTTTTTCCAACCTGTTGTGAAAACCAGTCATAAGAAAAATATCAACATTGTGTGGTTTTCACAACAGGTTAGTAAAAATAGAGAATCATGTGCATAAAATTAAGAATTTGAGCAGCAGCAATGAAAACTTGAGAAACAAGGTTACAGTTCTGCATGGTCAAATAATATAATTATGTAAGGACTCTGGAAAGCTAAAGGAACTTTCCTGAAGAAGGAAAGTAAAGTATTAAAAATAGCTCTAGAAAGAGCTAACTAAATGAATATAATATGTTAGGGAAGGAAATTCAACAGGGAAAAGAGCTGTCATTAAAAGATTCACCCAAAGAGAGGATTTTAATTACTTTCAATGCTGAGTTTATGATCAGTATTAACTCATCACTAATTTATTTTATTTTTCACTCCCACAGGATAAATTCCCAAAGTCACAGATTGATGTATATTTAACTGTGATTGAAGATGATGGGGGACTACTAGCTGCGTGCATCACTGCTGCAGGCTTAGCCATCTGCCATGCCAATATTGATGTCTATGATCTTGTTATTGGAGCTTCATTGGTAAATAATTATTTTTTCTTTCATAATGATCTGGTACCTTGCATTACAGTGGGGCCTCGACTTACGATGGTAATCCGTTCCCAGAGACGGAGCGTAAGTCGAAATATCGTAAGTCGAAGCGATTTTTCCCATAAGAAATAAAGGGAATTGAATTAATCCGTTCCCCACCCTCCAAAATATTAACTTACAAATACATTTTATACTGAATACAATGTTTTTTCTAACTACAATACAGTACATAATTTTATCTTACCTTTATGGAGGGCTCTTGATGGCATATGGAAGATGGTGATGAGGGGGGAGGAGGAGAGGTGTTACTGTTTGGAAGGGGAGTCCCTTCCATTATCACATCAGGCAGTGATGTTTTCTCTGGAGTACTCTCTCTCCTTCGTATTTACGTTTTGCCTAAATACCATTAGGACCTGGTTGTGGTTCACTGCTTGTTTGTCTCTATAAATTTGTTGAGACACTTGTTTTTCCCTTCGTTTTAACATTTGTCTGTAGTGATGCATCACAGTGTCATTGAATAAGTTAAGGCAACGGCCTACTGCAGCTTGATTTGGGCGAGTCGTTTCAGCAAAGGTTTGCAATTCTTCCCATGCTGCACACATTTTCTTAATTGTTGAGGAAGGGATGTTCTGTACTGGCACATCCTTCCCTGAAGAAATTTCCTCAGCTGCCTCTTCTTGCTGCTCCTTTTGAAGGGCTTGGAGTTCTTCGGTGGTCAGTTCTTCGTTGTGTTCTTCCACCAACTCCTCCACATCAACACCATCCAACTCCAAACCCAATTGCCGACCCAGAGAAACAGTTTTCTAACGAGAGGCACAGGTTCAGGCTCAAATCCCTCAGTCTCATTCTGCAACACATTCAGGCCACAGTTTTCTCCAGCCAGAGATCATGGTTCTTAGTCACTTCTTGCCAAGCTTTGTCAACAAGTTTTAAAGCACTGTAAATGGTAAATGTTTTAAAACACTATAAATGTTAAAGCACTAAATGTTTTTCCAGAACTCTTTGAGGGTCAGGTATGTGGCATCCGTCACTTCGACACATCTCCAGAAAAGTGCCCTTTCATAAAGTTTCTTAAAATTCGCAATGATTTTCTGGTCCATAGGCTGAAGTAGAGGGGTGGTGTTGGGAGGAAGGAACTTTTATTGTAACAAAACTAAATTCTCCCATCAATGAATCCTCCAAGCCTGGAGAATGGGTAGGAGCATTGTCGAGGAGAAGCAGGGCCTTGAGTGGCAAACTTTTCTCCTGCAAATATTTTTTGATGGCAGGGCACAACACCTCATTCACCCACTCGGTAAAAAATTGCCTAGTCACCCATGCCTTAGCATTAGCCTTCCACATCACACACATTTTGTATTTCTGCACATTATATTTTTTTAAAACCCTTGGATTTTTGGAATGATACACAAGCAAGGGTTTAATTTTCAAATCGCCACTCGCATTACCATGCAACACAAGAGTAAACCGATCTTTCATAGGCTTGTGTCCAGGCAATGACTTCTCCTTGGTACTGTATGTATTCTTTGGCAATCTTTTCCAGAATAGCCCTGTCTCGACACAATTAAACACTTGTTGTGGTAGGTATGCCTCACTCTGCACAAAATCTTTAAATTTGCCAATGAATCTTTCAGCTACTGGTTTGTCTGAGCTGGTAGCCCTCCCATGCCTCACAACACTATGAATTCCATTTTTTCTAAATTTCTCAAACCATCCTTGCTCGCCTTAAACTCTATCGCTTTTGCATCTATCTTTCCAGGGGTTTTCTTTAAAAGGTCTTCATGCAATTTTCTTGCCTTTTCACAAATGATGGCCTCCGAAACGCTATCACCCGCTAACTCCTTGTTGTGTATCCAAGTTAATAATAACTGTTCAACATCCTCAAGTGTTTGGGTTCTATGTTTCGTGATTATTGATATGCCTTTTGCCACTTTAGCACTCATAATGTCATTTTTCTTAGCCAGTATGGTGGATATCATTGACTGAGATTTGTTGTACTGCCTGGCTAGTTCAACAACCCGCACACCATCTTCATATTTACGAATGATCTCTTGTTTCTGCTTTATGGTCATCCTTACATGGGTTTTCATATGTTGAGCCTTACCACTGACTTTCCTGAGACTCATGGTGTGATATATAATAATTACTTGTATGTTCAAAATGCAAAAAAAAGCGGAATTTCTTACAGGCGCGATCGTCACTAAGCGGGCAGCTGTAGTAAACTGAGGCAGGTCGGCTCGCGTGACTGGGAACCATGCGCTCGGTCGACCCGAACATGTACCAACATATATCGTTAGTCAATGACACCATCCTATGTCGAGTCACATTTTTCTATCAAATTTACATCGTAACTCAAAATTATCGTAAGTCGAGGTGCCACTGTATTTCATTATTTTGTGATGGAATTAAATGTGTAGAAGGCACCTTATAACTGATAATATAATCCCTAGATAGAGTGCCAAGAGGCTTGAATAGAGGCATTAGAAGCAACAGTGAGTAAGCAAGTTGCCAGTGATTTAAAATGTAAGCAGAGAGAGATAGATATTGGTCATCCACAGCTGGCTCAGGAGTGGCATCTTGTGTGTGTGTGTGTAATTACCTAACTGTAAGTACAGGACAAATTATGCTTGTGGCGTCCTGTCTTCCCGGCACTCTGTCATATGATACTTTGAAATTATTGACAGTTTTGGCCTCCACCACCACCTCGCCTAACTTGTTCCAAACGTCTACCACTCGGTGAATGGGAAGGGAACTATCAAAAGAAAGCACCAAGCCATTACAGCTATATAGCACTTGGAAGGAGTCAGGATAAGGATTTGGGATGAGACGGGGGAAAAGAATGGTGCCCAACCACTTGGACAGTTGGGGATTGAACGTCGACCTGCAAGAAGCGAGACTGTCGCTCTACCATCCGGTGGAAGTGAATTTTTCAATACTTCTATGGCAGCTTTGTTTAGTTAGCTGAAATCTATGACCTCTTGTTCTTGAAGCTCCAAATCTCAAAAATTCTTCCCTATAAATTTTATTGATTCTCGTTATTATTTTGTACATGGTGATTATATCGCCTCTTTTTCTTTTATCTTCTAGCTTTGGCATATTTATTGGCACTAACCTCTCCTTGTACCTATTGTCCTTCAGTTCCAGGAGCCATTTAGTTGCATATCTTTGCATCTTTTCAAGTTTGTTGATGTTCTTCTTAAGATATGGGCACCAACAATCACTGTATTCCAACTTTGGTCTCACAAATGTCTTGAACAATTTCTTTAATATTTCACCATCCATGTTTTTAAAAGTCATTCTGAAATTGGAGAGTGTAGCATAGGTTCCTTACACAATGTCCTTTATGTGGTCCTCAGGAGACAGTTTTCTATCTAGAACCACCGGCCTGGTCAGAAACTGGGCCACGGGGACCTTAACCCCAGAATCAATGCAAGGTAAGGTAACCCCTAGATCTCTTATGAGAAATTGTGTAGCTTTTTTGCATAATTTGTATGTTGTGTGTAGTCAATTTTTTTCTGTTCTACATTCAATAACATGGCATTTATTCACTCTAAATACCATTTTCCAAGTGGTGCTCCATACACTTATTTTGTCTAAGTCTTCTTGAAGGTCACGACAGTCGTCTGAGTTTATCTTCCTTGGTATTTTAGTATCATCAGCAAACATGTGCATATAATTCTATATTCTTTCTTGTAGGTCATTTATATAGACAATGAACATTATCGGTCCAAGAACTGAACCCTGTGGCACTCCACTCATGACATTTCTCCAGTCCGATTCATCCCTGAGATTACCTTCATTTTTCTGTCTGTTAGACAATTTTTCATCCGTGTCAGAAGTCTCCATCGTTCCTCTGGTATGTTCCCATTTCCAGAACAACCTCTTATGTGGGACTTTGTTGAAAGCCTTTATTAGGTCTAGATAAATGCAGTCAAACCAACCATCTCTTTCCTGTAAAATTGCTGTGGCTCTATCATAGAAATCAAGTGGATTTGTTACACAGGATCTTCCAGATAGAAAACCATACTCTGTTTTTATATCCCTTTTCTCCAGGTCTTCTAGCCATTTGGATTTAATTATTTTTCCAATATTTTGACTACTACACATGTCAGTAATACAAGCCTATCAAAACTAATTATGTGCTTAAACAAATTTGCTTAGGTCTTGTTATATGTTGTATTTAAATTAGACTAGCTCTGTTATTACAGTTTTGGGAACAAACTTTATTTACTGTATTTAGCTTTGGCATGATGGAATTTTGTATGCTGACCCAACCCATCATGAAGAGGAATATGAGGCCCATGAGATTCGCAATGAGGACAGCGAGGGTGGGCAGCTGACTGTTGGTGTGATGCCCAAGTATGCTAATGGACAAGTAAGCCTACTAGTTCAAGGTGGCCAAATCTCAGCTGATAATCTTTGTGAAGGACTAGAGGTTGCACTTGAAATATGTCAGAGGATTTATACTCTCTCCAGAAAGGTAAGTACAGTGTTGGTTATTTTTATGTATGGTTTGAATGTTATTAAAGGTTTAATTTTCATTATTGAGAAAGACCCCCCCTCCCCCCCCCCCCCCCCCCCCCCCCCCCCCCCCCCCAGTAGCTTTCTTTGTCTTACAGTACTGATGCAATATCAGTACTACACACCAGATACCTCTTCCCTATCATACAAAGACCATTTTAATATTTGTCTTCTCTTCACAAAGGGGTACTAAAGAATATAGTTCAAAGATCATCTTGCAACTGAGACAAACTGAACACATTTACAAAAAAGCAAGCTCCTGTGGCTTTTTGAAGCTATCTTGCTGAGATTGTTCCATACTAAAAGGTCACAACAGTTGTAGAAGTAGTTCTGTTAGCCCTACTGGGGACCAGAACCTGGCCCAACCAGTCTCCGTGGTGTAGTGGTAAGACACTCGCCTGGCGTTCCGCGAGCACTATGTCATGGGTTCGTATCCTGGCCGGGGAGGATTTACTGGGCGCAAATCCTTAACTGTAACCTCTGTTTAACTCAACAGTAAAATGTGTACTTGGATGAAAAAACAATTCTTCGCGGCGGGGGTCGTATTCCAGGGACCTGCCCGAAACGCTACGCGTACTAGTGGCTGTACAAGAATGTAACAACTCTTGTATATATCTCAAAAACCTCACAGAGGCATAGAGAGCAGGTGACAGTCTGCTACCCCACCAGAAACAGCCTCCAGAAAGTCAGTGAAGGTTTACAGAAACTTTACATTTTCACAGAAAATGAAGCCTCAAAACTGCCAAAGAACTCTACAAACAATTCATGCAGAATAAGGAATTCACTCAAACTAGCTCGAAACTCATTAGTACCAATTACCTCCACCAGGCAGCTCAGCCTCGGTCAACTCCCCATCTTGGTTCTGGAGCTGATGAACAACCCACGATGAATCGATGAACTTGGGGAAAGTCGCAAAGAGGCGTTTCATAACATTCATTGCTGGGTTTCTAGAGGGAGCTAACCACAGAGAACTATAATTTGACTTACCTAGGAGGAGAGATGGCAGAAGAAGAAGAGAACTCAGGCCAGGAGATATGGTCCAAAACCACACATGAGTGGCAACATCCTCCTCAGGAACAAGGAGGGGAGAAAATGGAATGCTGCCAAAGAGGTAAGAGACCAAGCTGAATCTAAATAGTGGACCGATACAGCCTGTCAACACACAAGGTGGGCTGTATAAAATACCACCACCCTCTCCCGAAGGAGAGGAGGTGTGTATCTTGGGCAAGGCTGCCAAGCCTGAAACTGCAGGCTGTGCAGCTTCCACCCCCAGGAGTGGGCCCCAGTAATACCACATCCTTACATGGTATTGCTGCGGAGAACATCTCCTCGGAGAACCCCTCCATGAGGACCCAGATACGTGAGTCTGCAGCCAGGTGTGAACATACCTTGTGACCTTCCATAATAAGGGACCCTGGACAGTTGAGGCAGCTGCATGTGGAGCTGCCACTTACTTGCATCCTTGGATAGTGCTGGAGCAAGCTAACAGATGAGCAGAGCAAAGGAAGCCCTGCTCATGAACACCTGAAACACGGAGCTTATCTCCTGCCAATCACTTGTACACGTCTGACAGAATCTCTTCTATGCTCCTAAGGAAAGAAGAGGGTTGTCTGATAGCAAGGAAGAATCAAAGACCTCATATGTACTGCAAAAATTAAGCACAGATCCGTACTTGAAAGAGACTGGTTCCATCATGGAAGAGAGGTGCGTGTTCCGCAGCAAGTATGAAGCAAATCTATGCAGACTACAGAAGGCGAAGAGAGAACGCGGAAACCTCTGAATAAATTATGATTCCCAGGTACTAAATTAGACCCGAAACTGATCCCCAGGGTGAGCAGCTGGGTGATACAACTCATACGTAAAGGGAGGATATGAAACATGATCCCTCTGCTGCAAAATATTCACGAAGAGCTGAAAGGTACCCAAGGGCACTCTTTGGGTTCCCTATCAACCCTAGTGGATTGCCATGAAAGCTCTGGGGCCAAAGTCTTCACCCAACACCAGAGACTGGAAGGTGTTTTTCCAAGAAGACTCTGGGCAGGGATGGGGGAGGGAGGTCAGCTGTGAAGGAGATTGCCTCAAATCCCAGTGGGATCAGAAGGCTCAACCACCTCTGCTATCGATGTGGAATGGGACCAGCCCTAGAGAAGGTCAAGATACACCCCAAGTTAAACCCTGACCCAATTCCAATACCCTTGGATGGTGGAGATAGTGCAAACCAAACCCGCAGAGAACCACTCCAGGGCATGCAGGCAATCAATATTCTGTGAATGTCTAACACATCCAAACATAGCTCACTTTGCAGGCTGCTCCAAGCAGCCTTTTGGACCAAGCTCATAAAAATTGAGCCTGGCCCCCAGGCTGGGCTTCAAGAGTAGAAACCCTCCCAGAACCCCATCCAGGTACAGTGAGAATACACCTGATAGGACACATGGACACAGGCATCACCAACCCAACACGCAGCATCACGGGCAGAATGATCATCTTCAAGTAGTTAAGATGACGAACATCCCTCACGCTCACACGTAGCGAAGATGGGTTCAAGGGGCTGATCAATGTAGATCCAAGGGATTCTCAGAGCCCAGTGGATATTAACCAAGCAGACATTATAGGCACTAGGTTAGCTTGCCAGAAAAACATGTGACACCAACCACAGCCAAAATTATCAGGCTATGAGTGCCAACTGTTGCAGTGTGCCATATAAATAAGCTGTGAACCCCAGTGTGCCCCAGCACACGTAAAGAAGTAAAGAATCTACTCCCCCTCCCCTGCCCTTTCCCTCAGCCAAGGGTTGAAATAGAAGAATCAGAGATCCTTGAATAGCCCAAGGCCAACACTTAGCTTGAAGCAGCAGGGCTTGCCCGCAATCTGACAAACTGGGAGCACTGTGATCAGCTGTAATCGCTGTCATCAGCAACAGAGCAGAGATGGAACTTTGACTGAGGGCCAGGGTTGGCCCACCTAGTTATGATTAATGGTGCTAACACGTTTTAAGCTAGTTTGAGTGAATCCCATGTTCTTTGTGAATTGTTTGCAGAGCTGTTTGTCGGTTTGAGACTTCATTTTCTATGAATTAAAATTTCTATGAATTTACAGTTGTTTGTAAAGCTTCACTGACTTTCTAATAGCTTTTTCTGGTGGGGTGGTGGATTGTCACCCACTACCTACATCTCTTTTGAGGAGGAAGCCAGGGTCTGAATTTGGTCCCTGGTAGGCCAAGCCATAACTGGACTGATGTGACCTAGTATGTAGTTAATCTCGGCAAGATAGCTTTAGGAAACCACTGTGGCTGGGGGAGGCCTCCCACCATAAAAACAACAAAATTAAAAAGAAATATTTGAAAATTGATAGTATACCAAACAAAAACACCAACCCATTAATTATCAAACAACGCCTTGCTTGATACCTTACTTTCCCAGTACCATGTGGTACATTGTCACACTGAGCCCTGATGAGGTAGATACCTCTCTCTCTTTCCTGACTTAGTTTTTCATCTCTTGTGACTTGCTTCCCACCCCTATGTGGTAGCAAGTTGAGTTGATTTGGTGTTTATCCTGTTGGGCAGAGCATTAGGAGTCATATCGCGAGTTCCCTGAGGTACCAATGCCTTAACCCAAGGGAAGCAACTCGGGCACTACCCAGTGTCATTTCATTTCAGTCAAAACCTACTTTAATGAAAATATGTCAGTATGGTTGAAAACAATGTATAAATGTTAGGCAATAAAATTTATATGCATTTGAGAGCACTGTACTGTTCTGCTGTTCTAAATAATGAGACTTGAATCAATAAAAATTTAAGTACAGTACTAATTATTTTGCTGAAAACAAATTGTCAGTTTTTCTTCTTGAAACATTTTCAGCTTCTTGTTGGCTATTAATATACTGTTCAAAATAATGTTAAACATTTTCTTATACAATAGTATCTATTTTTCTCTCAGACTCTGGTGGAATATGTAGAACAGTCCCTTGAAGGTAATCACGAAGAGCCACTATTGACAATGTCTGAAAAATGAAGGCTTGGCTTACACATCATTTTGAATATACAATACAGTAACAAATATTATATTTTTTGGATGTCTTAAATAGATGGAACTCCAGTATGATTTGTAATTAAGTTCTTAATAAAAAAGATATAAACTTGTACGTTGTGTTCCTTTAGCAAGCAAACCTCTTGTTTAATATACATACATTGTATTGTGTTTTCTGAACAAAGTTACTCAGTTGCACCCATAAGCCATATAGCCTAGTGGCCACAGGTGATGACCATTGCACAGAAGAATATAGTTTTTTTTTTTTCTTAGAATGTTTCCTTGATGTTTAACGATGATTTTTGGATTGAATATCCAATTCTGGCATTGGGAAGATTTTGTCATCTTGACTGCCATCACCAGGATGGCAGCCAGGCCTAATTTGGCTAATACTGTACAAGAAAAAAAAAAATTGTATCTTGGAAATGGCTGCTTGTAGCTGAAAATTGCTTAAGACCAAAATTGTTCAGAACACTTTCTGGAGGCAGCTTCCTGATGGCTCCCTGAAGTTATCTTGCCGAGGTTCCTCAATAGTAAAAGGTCACCTCAATCATGGAAGTTGTTTGGCCTACTAGGAACCAGAGCCAGAACCTACCCCCCCCCTTTTTTTTAGTATTTTTGTATTTTAGTATTTCTTTTTAGTATTTTTGTATTTTAGTATTGGCTTCACATGCACGTTTTTGTTCAGCCTAAGTGGGCTTGGCTATTGTTAAATTTCAGGCTGCATGTGCTCAGGATTTTTTTCCTTGAGTGCCCGATAGTGTTCAGAAGTTTCCTCCGAGAAACTTGACCATTGGAGTGGAAAGCCTTGCCTTGGGCTAATCACTGATGCTTGATTCCTATGTTTGGGCCCTTGGCTGCAGACATTCTTTGGTTGTGCTGGGCTACACTGGGTTTGATGTATTTGTTTATATATGGTATGCCATGTCACTGCCACAAAACAACCATGCTACATATAGCATGATTGTTTTGTCTACACTTGGTGACTATTCTTTTTGCGAGCAGCCCAAGTGCCTGTGGTATCCGCTTGGTTAACTGCCTTCAGGCCCTAGTAATTCCCTGCGGGTGTCTGGCGTGTCCATTATGAGAGTGCAAGTTTGAGATTTGCTCATCATTTTTGCTAACAGATGATGACCATTCTTTCAGCCCCTGCCATGCTGCCTATTGGGTCAGTGACACTTGTGACTCTTGAGTCCTGTGAGGTTTGTTCACATTGATTCTTGGCACTTAAAAGCTTCAGTTTTTAATTGTAGGCTTTTCAGGTAGCTCCCACTTTGTAAGTCAGGTTTGCTCGTGTTAGGCATTTATGGCATATTAATCGGCTGGATGCCCCAGAGTTTACCTCTAGTGTTTAGGGACCTGGAACTGGTGTTGGTGTCTTACAACTGGACTAAACCTGTGTATCTTTCTCTCGAATGGTCTGAAACATGTGAGGGGTTTCATAGAGTTCAGGTTTAGCATGGGGTGTGGCTTGGCCTTCTGTAGAGGGTGGTCCTTGCATATTATTCCTTAACCACTGCACTGCGCAAAGCGCCTTTAGGCGCTCTAAGAGTTGTGAGGTTTGTTTTTTAATTAGACTCTATTTTTATGTTTTTAATGTTTTCATTACTCTTTATGTTCTGAAAGGGAAATAGTTGACGTTGGAAACATTTTGACATTAACTTTACTTGAGCATTTATGAAAACAACAAAAATATGTCCTTGACAATTGCACCAAGACGTTTTTGCCGAAAATGGGTGAGCAGTGCAGGGGTTAAGCTGCTAAAGGGTCTTGAGGAGATTTACACCCCCTGTGCACAAGAAAAAAATAAATTCTAAATTTTTTCCGTCTTCTAAAAATGTTAATTTTTGTTCTCTGAACACGGCAAAAAAGAAAAAAAAAACTTAGGTGACATATTTTGGGCGCAACAGGCCGAGGAAGTCTGGCAAAATGTGGGCATTGACAGTGCGGTCATCAGAGGTCAGCGTCACTCGAGCTGACAGGTAGGAGTTGCCACAAAGATATTATTACCTAATTATTTCAATGTCTGATTTTTTCTTAGTTTTTTGCAGTACCTGTAATATTATTCAATAGTGTGTAGTGTGATAGATTTATATAACAAAATGTGAGAATCATCACTATACTCAAAAGTATGGTGTTCATATTAGTGGTTCAATTATTATGTTCATAAAACAATAAACAAATAGTTTTGCAGTTATTACACTATATACACACATTATATATAAATATCTACATGTTTTGTTCACCACAGTTTGTACAACTAAGCTGATGTAGTTAGTTCAGGAACTAAGAGACATCGCTACTCATAGTCGGCTGGTGGCTGGCTGCTTCCCTTACTCATTCAAGGTCAGGCGCACTAAATTTCTCCCCCAACAATACTGTTTGTAGTGTTATTACACTATATACACACATTATATAAAAGTATCTACATGTTTTGTTCACCACAACTGTACAACTAAGCTGATATAGTTAGTTCAGGCACTAAGAGACGTTGCTACACACAGTCAGCTGGTGGCTGCCTCCCTCACTCATTCAAGGTCAGGTGCACTAAATTTCTCCCCCCAGCAATACTGTTTGTGGTGTTATTACACTATATACACACATTATATATAAGTATCTACATGTTGTATGCACTGTAACTGTACACCTAAGCTTATAGGGTGCATAGTGGCTACCCTCTACACAGCTAGACAAGTTATGCAGACGACACCACCTCCATCACCCAAATGTTCCTCCCAACATAATCCTTTTGCTGTTATATATAATGTGTGTATAAGTGTAATAAGTATCTACATTTGTGTTCACCATAGAGAACCACTGAGCTGGTATGGTGAATGCAGACAATAACAGGCGGCCACAGTCAGTAAACGGATGCTATCTCCCTCCCTCCCTCCCACAGCATTACTACACCCACACAGCACTAATTATCACAACAGTCCTGCTACTATTACAATCCTGGTTATTTTTATCACAGTCAGGAGTCATCTGTAATATTGTCATTGCTAAATAATAGCAGTTACATATTTATTTTGACATTTTTAGGCGATGCTGTGGCCACAAGCTGAACAGCAATGCTGTTAGCTCATGCTGCGTGCACCAGCCTTGGTTGCTCCAACAGGACTGTGGCTCTCACACCGGAGAATATTGGCCACAAATTTTTTTAAACATGGCACCTGTTTACAAGAGTCCTGAGGAAGCTAATGTGAACCCCGTGTAGCCGCGGGCCATTTGACTCGTCGCTGGCACCCTATGGCATATATATATATATATACGCCATGCGCACCATGGGACATGTTACTAATGGGGTATATATATATATGCCATGCACAGTTTGAGGGTTAGTGGTGAAGGCAATTAAGCCTTCAGGTCCTGCTGTGATTTCAGGCCATTTGCCTTCACTCCCCCCTTCCCCCCTGCTCTGAGCTGCCGCCTTGTGAAGACACCCTCCAGTTTCGGTTGTTGGGTGAGGACTTTGGTTCTGCCCTGGAGCCTTTGTGGTCAGCTTTCATGGTTAAGGGGGAGCCCGAGGAATTACTGTCTTTCAACACTTTATGGACCCTCTGCAGAGGGCCTTTTGCTGCAATGGGATCATTTTTCATATCCTACCCCCTCAGTGTGTGTTGGATCGCTCAGCTGCTTTCCCTCGAGTTAGGTTCCAGATCCCATTCAATTTCAATGCCTGTCGTCATATTTTCAGGGGATCCATCTTCCCTTGCAGCACCTTCTGTGATCAGCACAGACTTGCTTCTGTATCTCCTGTGGAATACCAGACCTCTTTCCATGATGGACCTGGCCTCTTGAGTACAGGTCTGTTACTGTTTATTGGATGCAGTAGGTGGTCTCAGGTTCATCCTTGCAGGCTGACAACCCTCTCTTTTTCTTGGGTACTTGGCATGGGGTTCTGTGAAACCTGTATTCTTGATTGACGCGAGATAAGCTCATTATCTCGCGGGTATTCCTTGGCCAAGCTGCTTTTGCTCCACTCTTGAGCTGTCTGCTTACTATGGCACTTAACAAAAAATGTCGGCATGTGGCATCTCCATTTGCAGCTGCCTACACTGTCTGGGGCTCTTATTTAGGAAATCCTAAGGACAAGTTTTCACTTGGCAAGTCTTGCATACCTGGGTCTTCGTGGAGGGGGCTCTGAACAACTCTATGCAAATGTTGTATTGCTGGAATTCTGCTCCAGGTGCAGCTTGTGGCCTGTGATTCTGGCATTGGCGGCCTTGCCAAAAATGCACGCCCCTCTTCTGAGGTGGTGGTATTTATTCCGCCTGCCACCGAGTATTGACAAGCAGTGTTGGCCTGTTCTTTGGATTCAACTTGGTCACTTACTATCATGGGGGGAGCCTCTGACAGCTGAGTGGACAGTGCTTCGGATTCGTGGTCCTGAGGTTCCGGGTTCAATCGCCAGAACGGAGGCTGAAACAAATGGGCAGAGTTTCTTTCACCCGGATGCCCCGTGTTACCTAGCAGTAAATAGGTACTCGAGTTAGACAGCTGATATGGGCTGCTTCCTGGGGGGGTGTAACAAAAAGGAGGCCTGATCGTGGACTGGGCCGCAGGGACACTAAGTCCCGAAATCATCTCAAGATAACCCTTTTGGCTACCTCCCTTTTCAACTCATCTGTTTCCCAAGGATACAATTTCACAAGTTGTTTCCACAACAGTTTTTTCCATGCTGCTCTAATGATCATTTACTGTTTTCACAGGGTTCTGCCCCCTTTTGGAAGTGGTCTGGTTAGGCAGGACCTTGCCTTGCAGGTTATCGCGTGTCAAATAACCAACCCATTGCACTTCCTTGGGAGGGCTCTTTGTCTGCTCGACGTTGCAACTATGTCATAGAAGGCTGGTTTTACTCAAGGTTCACACTGGCTCTTTGTGGTTTGCCTCTTTGATGCCAACATAGTGGGCATCAGGCTCATTCTGTCAGCTCCTGGTCCCACAATTCCTGGCCTTTTTTTTGGTTGTTTTCCTCAGCCTTTAATGGAGCTGTTCGGTTCCTTACCCTTATTTGGGTAAGAAGCCCTCACCCGCACTGTGTTGGATCATCGTGTGTTGGATGGACTTGGGCATGGTCAAGATGGCCTCATCTTTTTGGTGGGTGTCCTGGTTGTTCCTGGTCCTGAAGTACAGGATTAAAAAAAATGTTTCCAAAGAAAATTAAACAATTTATTGAACTATTAATCCATAATGTAATACAGTACTGTCATACAATTATACCCAGAACAGCTATACTAATGCCTAGTAAACAAGGATTGTTTTGCCTAATGAGTTATTGTGTATATTTTTCAAATACAGTATCTTCAGAGAAGTTCACCCTTAATCAGATTAATGTATATTAATTACTGACTGAATTAGGCTTATGTTTACCTATGTTAGGCAGATATAAAGAATGATAAACATATAGGTTAGGTCAGGTTGCCGTGTTTTGGTTCAGATTTGAAAATTATATTTTACACATTTAACAACAATCCACAAGTTACACATCTTTTAAAAAGTGAATTGATGAAATTTGATTTATTAAGCTACTCTAGCTATTGGTACTACAGTACTATTGTCCAAGTGCATCATTTAATTGTGTGCCTGTATATTTTGATCAATTTTTATTATATTGTAGTACTGTTTGTTGCATTCAAGTATGCAGTTCAAGTCATTCAAGTAACCAGATAAGCTTTTGACTTTTGGTGACAAATCTGTGATAAAAGAATAATTTGAACCCAAAAAGTGTGATACAGTATTTGTAATACTGATGACATTACAACTTATATAATATGGGTAAATTATGAACATTATATAAAAAATATGTAATAATAAAAATCATTTCTTATAATATCAAACATTTGACATACTTCTGATAACTATTAAGATGTAGCTTATATAAACTCAACAATGATTTTTCAATAATGATTGTTATGATCAAGCCAGAAGCAGCATACATTATGCAGAAATATTTGGCAAGATTATTACATACATACATGTAATAGAAAACATCTCTCCTTTTTTTCTTTTTGGTATTAAAGTATAACTTCTATTTACATATTTAAACATGTTTTTATATGCCTAAACAATGAGGACGTGCCCACTTTCTAATCAATTAGATACCAAGTGTCCCTAGGTTCTGTAAAGATACCAATGGGTTACAGGATTACTTAACCAACAATCATTGACAATTTATACTTTTAATATGCAGAGTACCAGGACAGTTTACCATTCACAAGGAAAACTGAGTTTATTTCATTACAACTTCAATACAGGATTATACATGTTATAGGCAATGTAGCACAGTAAGTATTTATCATTAGTACAGAGTTTCTATCATCAACCGAGTATAATAATTTACAAATGATGATGCAATGTACAATATGTGACATGATTACTAACCTTTGTTAATATTGTATCAAAATTGAGGATAATTCCAAAACACACAGTTTAAATGTGTTGTTTAGGAGTAATGTTACCCAATTGATCACCAGTACTAATTGAACAGGATAGTGTATAAAAAAAATGATCACAAGTCATCTGACTTGATAGTACTAAAACTGAAAATGTTTGTTGCTTCAGTAATGTACAGTGCCACCTTGCTTGAATGGTTAGTGAACCAGAAAGTATTGACTAGTGGACCAGTTCTTGACGAATTCAAATATTTTGTCGGTTTCACCAAGCTGTCTTGGTAGACTGGCCAAACAAAATAACCATATTTTTTCAAGGTTTTTATGATAACGATTTGTCACAAACTGCAGCTGCATTATATGCTCTGTCCTTCGAAGGTGGCTCGGCCAAAATACACCCAAACTGCAAAACATGTCGCACGGCTCAGGATGGAAGCAACCCTTCAGTTAAAAAGCAGCATCGCAGAGGCACAAGCAATGACATGTTGGCATAAATTTAAACTGTGGTACCTAGATGGACCACAACAAAAACCTGCTGGGGTATGCCAGATCCGGCAGGAATAAAAAGCGAACCTGGAACATTAGACATGGGGGACTTGCCAGGCAAACGCTTAACTCGGTTTAGAGAAGAACAGCTGAAGAGGGTACAGGCAGTGTGTAGGAAGTCTTGCATGCAAACTCCCATGCGCCCCTCAAATGAAGAACAACCTCAAAGCCTCTCGGTGGAGTCAAAGACCCATGCACTACTCCAAGGCAGAACCCTCTTAAAAAGAAGGCAGGCCTGAAGGCACACCTGTTAATTTACTTTCCCCAGGGAAGTAACCCCTGACAAGGCAGAGGCAATGCCAGCAAGCACTTAGGAAAGGCCATCATAAACACACACACGCACGACTCAAGGTCCACTCAACAGCGAGGATAGAAAAAGACATGCACATTTAGCGTAAAAAAAAAAATTAACAAATACAAGCATAGTCCCATGCAGGACAGCATCCAACAGATAGCTGGAATAAACCTGGACCAGAGGATCATACAGGCATGATCCTCCATGGGATCATACCAGGAAAATGACTGTTTGGTATCCCCAGGTGGACTCTAAGCTGCCAGGGCCACCACCACATAATAGGGAGGTATAACAACCTATTGTGGTCTAGGTTAAGCTAACGTCCCCAATTCCCTATGCCACTTTGAGTAGACCAGATTCTGTCTATGAACTCTGGTAGGTGTAAGACTCACAAGGGCTTGGTGGGGTATGATGCATGTAGGGCAACCCAGGTAGCTTGCTCCAGGAAGCCTTCGAGGTGGTTCCTCCCTGATAATGTCAACACACACTTAACTGGACTGGTCTGGTCCCAATTAATCTGTTCAAGTAAGGTGTCTGTTTATTATAATACCAATGGTTACAATCTGTAGTATTCTGGTATCAAAATTACTGTATGCGATATTATTTGATATTAATTATATACCAGAAATATGAATGTAAATAGATTGCTAAAGCCAATTCATGAACTAATAGTTTCTTACTGCATAATTTGAATGTTTTTAATTACAAATATCCTCTGGTATTTTTAATTACTTCAAACAGGTAACTAAAAAAAATTTTAATTTCAGTGGCACCAGCTTGATACTTTCCATATCTATACTGTACTGGTTAGAGTATTGAAGAGTTTTTAGTTTTAAAAGATGCAGAGATATTTTGTGTCGGGTAACTTGGAACTATAATTGAAAGTGTGGCTATATGTTGAAGTGTATTACCAAGTTACATAATATATTATTTGCTAAACATATAGTGAAAGGCATTGTATCACAAGCAGCTTGGTAATTTGCCATAAAAAATCAGTATAGAATGACTTTCAATTTTAAACTACATATTCAAAATGTTTTATACTATTAAATGAAATATGTTATTAATATTTAATATTAAATGAAATATGTTCACTACAATTTTCTGAGGACTAGCAAAATTAAATACAGTACCTGTAAATTCTATACACTGCATGTTAAATTGAGAGCACATAAATGGAATAAGGTCTTCAGAGCACTTATCTGCTCCATCTTAAACTGGGTCAGTTTCTAAAGATAAAAGAAACACAAGTTGTTTAGCTACTATAGGATGATATAAAGGCCTAGAATCAAATCATGTCCACATTCAACTACTGTAAGTCCCGAAGATCAATAACTTTTATTGGTAAGCTATTTTCCAGTGTCACATGGGTAGCATCCTGAAACACGGAATTAACATTTAAGTTAAAGGTGATTTCATATATTGTACATTATATTAAACATGGACTACTTACACAATATGGCAATAGGGGTCATTTACAATCTACCACTAAATACAGGAAGGCCTGAAGTAGACCTGGAGTGGATTCTGAAAGTTCTACTTCTCAAGGCTGGCCTAGAACCAGGCTTGACTTGTGATAACTTGGTCCAACAGGTTGTTGCTTGGAGTGACCCTCAAGCCCACATATTTACTACAACCTGGTTGGTCTGGCACTTCTTGCAGGAACTTTTATGAGGAATATAGCAAAAAAGAATGAAGCCTGCCTGATAAAATTTGAAAAGGCAGCTGCATTGGCATATGAAGCAAAAGTCTAGATCCTATTACTGTACTCTGAAATTTTAATCACATTCCAACAGACTGGACAATGAAGTATCTTAATAGATAGAGAGATGTGGAAAGCAAAATTAATGTACACAGGTGAATAAGCACTTTCTTGTGTCAAAATATGGACCTAGCACAAGAAACACGAGAGAATCCACCACCTACTCTAAACTTTATGTTTATGCAAAATGAGGCATATGAGGTGCAATTAGGAATCAGTGCCTGCTGCATCACTCTGTTTTCTTATATAATTTAAATGAATCAGGTCAAGAAACAGATTGAAAATTGATAGAGAACTACAGTACAAGATGGTTAAGTTGAAAGTAAATTGGAAAGGAAGACAGTAGTGGCAATTTGAAACTGGTATTGCAACAAAAACCAAAAGATCAACCAAAGCTGATGTATAGTTACCAGCCTATCCTAAAATTCTAGTGCTTATAGCAATTATTTGGTGAAACTTACAAAAATGTTCATTATAAGTCTGTTTTTTGTCTGTTAGACCCAAAAAAGTTCATGTTTTGTATTAGCCCAAATGACATACTAAAAAAACTGGAAAAGTAACTTTAGAACCTAACCTGTCCAAGCAATCCTAGGCCTATTTACTAGTTTAGACTTAAGATAGCATGTATGTGCTATACTAGGCTTAGGAATGCTTAAGTTTGTTTTTTTGGCATATTTTTGGTGCCCTCTACAAAATTAATAGTACAAAACATGAACACTGTTGGCTACAATAGTATATTTTTATATGTATGGACATGTCCTCTGCATGGACATCAGCTTGGAGGTTAACTGTGTCTTCTATATTGTCTACTCCCATGAAAATTCTAGTGTCTTCTGCAAAGGATGATAAAGTACTATAATTTGTATCTTTTTATGTCTGATATTAGGATGAGGAAAAGTACCAGAGCAAGTGTGCTATATTGGGGGACTGAGCTTTACAGGGTGGATGATTCAAATTCTACTTTGTTGACTATTACACTCTGGGTTTTGTATGTTAGGAAGTTAAAGATCCATCTCCCTACTTTGCCAGTAATTCCTTTTGTATGCATGTTGTGTGTAATAACTCCATGGTCACATTTGATGAAAGCTTTTGCAAAATCAGCGTATATTACATCAGCGTTTTGTTTGCCTCCATTGCATCTTTGGCCATGTTATACTGGTCTAACACTTGTGAGAGGCAGGATCTTCCTGTTCTGAACCCTTGTTGCTCAGAGTTATGTACACACTGATACCATGTTTTGTGATCTTACTTCTTAGCACTCAATTTTTATGTCAGAGTTATGGGTCTATAATTTTTTGCAAATTATAGCAAAACATTTACTACCTCCATTGTGAAATGGAGCAATATCTGCTGTTTTAAGTATGTCAGGAATAACACCAGTATCTAGGCTCTGCTTCCAAAAGGTGTTTATTCTTTTTTTCAATTCTTATTGAACATAGAATTCCAAGAGTGGGGCCTGGTGCAGAGTGCATGCTGTCTATGACTACTTCAAAGTTGAGAGAGGGTTAGGGTAACATCTGATATATGGTTTGATAGTGGTGCCACATTCATAAAGAATTCATTTGGATCATTTATCTGCAATGTGTGCAGGGTTTTACTAAAAACAGAATTGTACTATAACCTCATTATTTCACTAATTTCTTTGCTGGCATCTGTAAAGGTTCCATCACTCATGCACAAGGGCCCTATGCAGGGTGTAGTATATGTCCTAGATTTTGCATAAGAGAAAAAGTATTTTAGATTCCTCTACTTCACTTATGGCATTTTGCTCTCCTTGCCTTTCCTGGATTTTATATGAGCCAGGAAAAGAATAGTGGACATTTTGTAATGGAGGAACAACAAGGATATAGATAGGAAAATTCATATCTAACAAACTTAATTCAATTCTATGATTGGGTCACTAAAACAAGAATGAAGGATAGGTAGTTTGCATCTTCACCGACTGTCAGAAAGCTTTTGATAGTTACTCACAAATTAATAATTACGTACACAAAATGGAAAAGAGAAGCTGGAATAATGGGAAAGATACTGAACTGGGTAAGGGAGTACCTGAAAGGCAGAAAATGTCAGACTCGAGAGGAGTGGAAAGTTTAGTCACTCACTACTCCATCCTAGAACCGTTATATTCTTTCTAATTTACATTAATTACCTACGAGAGGGAAATGAACTTATGCCAATGTTTGCAGATGATGTAAAGAATGATTGAGGGTAGGAACTGAGGACTGTACTGCACTGCAGGAAGACTTGACAAATTCCAGGAGTGGGTAGATAAGTGCCTTATAGAATTCAATCCACAAAAGTTTTAAACAATGAAGACTCACTCATTATGAGAAACCATTACTGGAGTATGCAGCGCTCTGTAAAGCAGAAAAGGAAATCTGAGAAAGTGCAAAGGTTTGCTACTTGACTTTTACTAGCATGAGAGTTAGCCGCTACATAGTCTTCCCAGCTTGGCATCTGCCTAATACCGTAATTAATTACCGTGAGAGTTGAGAAGTCTAAGCTATAAGAACAGGTTAAGGAAACCTGTTTACAGCAAAAAAAGAGGAGAAATGGAACAAAGGTGTTAAGATCATTACATACAAGACACAGAGGGGAATAAACAAGGAAGATAAGGACAACCAATTTGAATTGAGACAAGATAGGACAAGATGACGTCTATGGAAACTGGATACACATTTCAGTCATAGAGACAAAGGCATTCTCATACCCTTTATGATTATCAGCAAGTGGAATGCATTGAAAGATGAATTGTTGAAGCCACTCTTCCATCTGTGGTTACTGATATGTAATTGCTTAATGGAAATATAAGAAAAGGGTTTATGTAAGTAAAGCTGCTTAGTAGTTGTCAAAGAAACCCCCTCATGAGGAAATTCTTGGGAAGAACAAGTCATCAGTGGATTAATACAAGTTATATACTGTAATACTAATAATGGGAGAAAGGTAGCTAATATTATACAAAAAGTTCAAATACCTACTTGGAACAATGGAGGCTCTTTAGGGTGTGGATGAAAACCACTTTGTTGACAGTTGGAAATAAAGGGTAAACCATGATTAGGGCTGAGAGTGAAGAAGCCTGTCCTTTCATACTTTGGAGCACACACTATAGCCACAGCTTCAGGCATCATCAGTTGATAGGAACAATGTGTGTGAAGATCTACACTGGACAGGAAAGCCGTCTGTGTTGGATGGGTCTGGAAAAATGTAGCAAATAAAAATAATAGAATTCAACACACATGAGGTCTCAGTTTTCAAACAATTCTACACTAGAGAACAAGTTGCACTTGAAATTTATTATTTAGCATCCTATCTTTAACACCCCTCACTAGATTTTCACAGTATAGATCTTATGGGTTTTGCCACATTAATTAAATTTTTGTAAACATTGTTTCCTACCCAAGATTTCTGTTCAGTACTATCTTAAGAATGACTCAAAGTGTTTATTTGAAATCTATATCACTTATGTATCAAAGTGCAGAGACAGTTCATCTTATTCAAATTAGACAATGCCAGGTATTTTATCTCCAAAGCTCTTTGTAGTGCAGTCATAATTACAAAGCTGATGGACCAACTCAAATAAGAGAGCATACTGTAGTGCAATCTGAGGCATATCAAAACATTTGCAACTGAAGAGATAATATTTTTGTGAATTTAATTTTTTTTTCATTATATACTCAACCCGTCCTCTTACAAATTACAGTATTGTACGTCGTTTTTCACTAGTATGCACACTCGGGCTAAAAATCAACATAATTCAAAATGAAATTGGCTCACAAAAGTGACGTATTGTCCCTTTTTTTGTTTTGGGTCCTCTGGCTTATGCTGTTAGGTTAGGGGAAGAAATTTTCAATTAACGGTTTCCATAATGTTTTGAAACCTGAGGAGAACTTCGTAAGGAAAGAAGTTCTAAGATTCTATAAGAGTGGCATTTGTGAAGTGTGTCTAGGCACACACACATTTCCCTGGTCTTTCCTTCCCATTGTAATTAGGCCCGTTATCTTGCTGTGCTCGATTATCCTCCTCTCACCCTGGTCTTGCATCTTGTTCCCCCCCCAACTCCATTTCCTAGTGACACATAATATATTTAGAGCCACCCAGATGGCTAATTTCCAGGAAGCCATTGAGGGGTCCCCTCTCAGAAAATTATGATGGCCCTTAAGCATTTATGCTTTAAGGTCCATCATAATATCCAAGGAAGAAATGTAATTTGGATCTTTCGGCTCAATATTTTTGAGTAAATAGTACTTACATGTATCCAGCCAACAGTGATAAGATCTAGTCTATCTTGGTAGTCAAACAGTTCCTCTTCTTGCTGGGTGGTGCAGGAATCTGCAGTGCCACACTGCTTAGGAACTAGTAAATGGGTCACCAGCAATTTGTGCTGGGCCTGAAATATTAACAAATATTTTAACTTCATAAAATTATAATATAAATCAGAAAATATGCCGTGGGCTTAAAAATTATAGTGCTGAGCATACTGAAACATCTTTCTGGGTTACACTTCAATTGCACCAATCAGCTTACTTAATTGGTATGTATAGGACACTGAAAATGCAAGGCTCCTGGCATCAACATCGGCACATTGGAGACGAGCCCCATCTTGCTTGCCTCATCATGGCTGGTGAGCTCATGGGAATCAATCCACTACCAAGGTCAATAATCAACAAGGAAAACACTTTAAAATGTCAGGTCTATAATAAAATGTTTTTAAATATCCAACTGGCAAGCAACATTCAACATTAAGCTAATTAGCTACAACATTAGCAAGCAACATTAGCTAATTCCAAGTGGAAAGCAAAGTACCTCGAATGCTACCAGGCGGTGCCCCATTCTACCCAAAAGAATGGTCAGAGAGAGCCATTCCATACAAGCTGCAGCGAACACTCCACGTTGGCAATGCAAACAACAGGTCAGGAATCGAGAGCTACCGAGGTGTAGAACAAAGAGGAGTTTCAACATATTTAATGCCTTATTTCTAGGGTGGCTTCCTTCGGCTTGCTCATCACAGCAACAGAAGAGGATCATACTATGAAGTGCAACAAAAAAAGACACATCCATACGAGGCAAAAATTGAAGAGCTGGACTGGAACCTTCAGACACAGGACAAAATTACAAAAGCCATGTTTACATGGCCTTTAACATCTGGGGTGTAGTAACATGGCATCTGGGGTGCAGTATACAAAGCAAGTACCTAGCTGCTAGAACCCTGTTTGATCACTGGAAGCCTCAGTTTTAAATGTTGGTCATTGGCTTGATACGTCAGGCTGTGAGCAGCCGCGTCCAACAGCCTGGTTGATCAGTTCAGCAACCAGGAGGCCTGGTCGACGACTGGGCCGCGGGGACGCTGAGTCCCGGAAGCACCTCAAGGTTGGCATAGAGATTGTGAGCCTGAGCAGAGAGACCAAGCTGACTCAAATTAACCAATTGAACAGGGACAGATGAGCCCTTGAACAAAGAAGTATGTAGCAATGACTCAAGAGGAGGGCCTGAGCTGAAGAAGTATGAGAAGCCAGCAAAGACAAACACAATGCATAAATAGGATGAAGGGTGTGAATAATACTCACCTGAACAAACCACACCTCAATGAAAAGCCCATGGCAAAAGGCAGAGGACATTTTGCTTTTGCGTGAAAAGGTGGTAGCAGCAGCTTGAGTTTAATAAAGTGATCCCCAGGACAACAAACCAGGGAACTGCCATGGCATGAATGTTACAAACACAATAGCCTGGGGTCAGAGCTAACAAAATCACCATCTGGAGGATGAAACCCCTTCAGAGATAATGCTCCTCAGAAATGTATTCTTTCCATTTAAAAATTGCAGCCTGTATTCCAAAAGTGGGGAGGTAAATGTAACAGCACAAGTGTAATTATGTACTATGCCTAGCAGTCAGGAATTGTACTGTACTTCTTTTCACTTAGTATTAAACTGCACTGTCAAATATGTTGTGAATATTTGAGTTTACCTGAAAAGCTGAATAGAAAACCACAACCTAACCTAACCTTTTTAGTTTTTGAAGATAAGCATTTTATTGCTTCTTAATTACAATTAGTACTTAACCTATAGCTATATTGATATTACAGTTTTATAAAACAAATACTATAAAACAAAACTAAAATATTTCAGTAAATTGTAAAGTAACTCAGAAATTCCTGATATTTAAAACTTGTGTTTAGCAAATTGAACTTGTAAACTTCATCCTAAAATTCTGAGTGTCTTAACAGAAAACGAGGAGAATAAATGGGGAGGTAAATGTAACAGCCATTACATAGTGCAATTATGTACTATGTATGACAGTTGGGTAATGTACTTATTACACTTAGTATTAAACCGTACTGTCAATTCGGAGGATGGGTTGAAAAATTGCCAAATGCTTAACATGTGATTTACTGGATTTATGGGCTATTCATGCCCGTGCCACCTTTTGGGTGGCTTAATCTTAATCTTTATCAATTTACTGGATCTACAGGCTGGTTACCTTATATACCATAACAAGTTTACTCATAAAACATTTAAGAAATCCCAATTATAAATACAAAACTACTAAATTCAACTTACCAGTTTGCCAGCAAGGATTCCACATGTTTCAATATTACGCGAAGTATTTGGTTGAGCCAAGGCCATAAATTTAACCATTAATTCCTCTGGGACCCTTACTTCACGAAGCCCTCCACTTTTTGTTCCTACGTTGGCGCTTAACAGAGATACTGGTTTACGACTCCGATCTACAGACGGAATGCTGAAATGTAATAATAGCTATAAATGCATATTAATCCTCAATGTCAATAAATTAAATTTGTACGTCAATTATCTGCATAGTGTATTCTTCTTATACATACCTTGGATGCAGAGGTTTTAGGTCTCTTGATGGAATGCTGGGTATAAAATTAGCACTGCTAGGAGAATAATCTTGTGTAATAGAAGACGGGCTAATGTCATCCCGTGGCAACCTCAATCTGTCATCATGTTCTAGATCATTCAAAGTTAAGGCTGATGTGGGATAGGTTAAGCTACCTAAACCATCATACCTGATAAAAACATACATCTTATTATAGCATACTACTTTTAACTTAGATATAATGTGCATACAAAATATATATAAGTATTTATAGTACTGAATGTGCATATCTAGTGCAGGTTAAGTATAATATATATTATAATGAGGATGAGGATGAATATAATCAGGATGAGAGCTACGCTCGTGGTGTCCCGTCTACCCAGCACTCTTTGTCATATAACGCTGTGAAGCTACTGACTGTTTTGGCCTCCACCACCTTCTCACTTAACTTGCTCCAACCGTCTACCACTCTGTTTGCAAAAATGAATTTTCTTATATTTTTTCGGCATCTTTGTTTAGTTAGTTTAAATCCATGACCTCTTGTTTATGAAGTTCCAGGTCTCGGGAAATCTTCCCTATCGATTTTATCAATTCCTGTTACTATTTTGTACGTAGTGATCATATCACCTCTTTTTCTCCTGTCTTCTAGTTTTGGCATATTTAATGCCTCTAACCTCTCCTCGTAGCTCTTGCCCTTCAGTTCTGGGAGCCACATAGTAGCATGTCTTTGCATCTTTTCCAGTTTGTTGATCTTAAGATATGGGCACCACACAACCGCTGCATATTCTAGCATTGGCCTAACAATAGTCGTGAACAATTTCTTTAGTATTTCACCATCCATGTATTTAAAAGAAATTCTGAAGTTAGAAAGCATGGCATAGGCGCCTCGTTTTGTTTGTTGTAGATTCGCTACCTGGAACAAAAAAGTTCCAATTAGCTCAGGCTACGGTGAGCCCGTAGAAAAAAAAAAAAAAAGGCTCCTCGCACAACGTTCTTTATGTGGTCCTCAGGTGGTAGTTTTCTATCTAGAACCACCCCTAGATTTCTTTCTTTATCAGCATTCTTTAGAGAGTTCTCATATAATTTATGAGTTGTGTGGGGTCTATGTTCTCCTATTCCACATTCCATAACATGACATTTATTCACATTAAATTCCATTTGCCAAGTGGTGCTCCATATGCTTATTTTGTCCAGGTGTTCTTGAAAGGCATGACATTCATCTAAGTTTCTTATCCTTCCTATTATCTTAGCATCATCAGCAAACATATTCATATAATTCTGTATACCAACTGGTAGATCAATTATGTAGACAATGAACATCACTGGTGCAAGAACTGAACCCTGTGGTACTCCACGTGACATTTCTCCAGTCCGATACATTGCCTCTGATTACTGCCCTCATTTTTTCTATCAGTCAGAAAATTTTTCATCCATGTTAGAAGCTTACCTGTCATTCTTCCAATATTTTCCAGTTTCCAGAACAACCTCTTATATGGAACTCTGTCAAAAGCCTTTTTTAGATCCAGATAGATGCAGTCAACTAACCATCTCTTTCCTGTAAAATCTCTGTGGCTCGATCATAGAAACTGAGTAAATTCGATACACAGGATCTTCCAGATTGAAAACCAAACTGTTTGTCTGATACATCATTTCTCTCCAGGTGTTCTACCCATTTAGATTTTATTATTTTTTCCAATATTTTCACTATTACACTTGTCAATGATACAGGTCTATAATTGAGGGGGGTCTTCCCTGCTGCCACTTTTGTAGATTGGAACTATGTTAGTCTTTTTCCAGACGTCTGCTACAAATCCTGTACACAGGGATGCCTGAAACATCAGGTGAAGTGGAATGCTGAGCTCAGATGCATATTCTCTCAGAACCCATGGTGAAACTCCATCTAGGCCAACTGCTTTGTTCTTACTTAGCTCCTTTAGCATATTTTCCACTTCATCTCTAAACACCTCTATACCCTTTATGTTGTTCTCTGGAATTCTTATTGTGTCTGGTTCTCTGAAGATTTCATTTTGTACAAACACACTTTGGAACTTTTCATTTAATGTTTCACACATTTCCTTTTCATTTTCCGTGAATCTGTTTCCCATATTCAACCTCTGGATATTATCCCATACTTGCAATTTGTTGTTATGAATTGTTTATGAATTTGTGGGTGTGTGTGTGTGATTGTATGCCCCTAGTAATCACTTCAAAACCACTACGTATACATAATCAGTACAATCATCTACTCCCTATTCATGATTAGATTAGATTAGATTAGGTTTAGTTTGGTTTTGTTCTTAGGCTAAAAGTGTATTATTCTCAAATGTGAAAAATAAAATTAAAAAACTATTTTGAGTATCCTCTAAAATTTAACTTTAAAGAAAACTTTAGGCTGAGTGCATATAGAAGAAAACAAGTTTACATAAAACTTTATATTTTTAACCTTCAATTTATAATACAATACAGTTTTAACATAAGAATATTCAGTGTTTAGGACAGAGGTTTACTTGTCAGTTTACAAATAGATTACTGTATTATTGGAACCGTAATATACTTTTAGACCATCACAAATTGCCATGTATAATACTGTTTATGCCACCTGTAAAGGAGAATAGCATTATTTTGTATAATAATCTGGATTTTTTACATAAATTCATTGCCAAAAAAATACTTACGGTGGAGGAGCATCATCCATAGCTAATTCTGGGTTTTTATGATGGGTGGACTGCAGATCTCGAATTCTCTTTTCCTCATCTTGAATATTTCTATTTCTCTTATAATTCTCTTCATACTGCTCTTTCCTCCTCTTTTCCTCTTCCTGAGCAAGACGTTGAGCCTCATCTTGCTTGCGTTTTAATTGCTCCTCCAATTTTTTCTGTAAAAATGTTAAACATTTATACTATTTTATTACATATACAGCACAAACCACTCCGTAACTCCTGCACGTGAAGCAGCCACGATGCAGGACTGCAGTGTAGTATGGTGTGTGCAGTCATATGCACATGCTTTCCTTACACATTTTGACTATGACTCTTCACAATATTTTTGATGTATACAAAATAGTATTTGATCAAAATACGGAGGCAATTATTTTGGCTAAAACAGTGAACAGTGCTGAACAACATTACAGTTTACCTCCAATAATGTGTTTAAACACATCATGTTTAAACACAGTTTACCTCCAATAATATGTTTCACTACTGGTTCTTGATTCTGATTTGACTACAACAGAATACTGCTTCTGCATAATGAGATATGACTGCTTATTTCTATAACAGAAAAAATTTAAATCATTTATCAGTTTTTAAGATCAGTCCCTGTAATAGGTTTTATGCAAGTTCGCATGTTGGCGTACATCACTAGTATGAACAATATTATGTTTTTTCTGGCTTTTTAAAAATGTTTTAGGCCTTCAACTGCACATCACAATTAGGAATGTGATCACCATTAACCCTTAAGCCCTTCACTGTGCATATGAATTGACTTGATAGCATCTCTGTGCACAAGAAAAAATAATTACATTTTTTCTCTCTATTACTGTAATATTATTAAAAATGCATTCCTAGTTACAACATTCACAACATTCATATATTGGTAGTCTAGCATTATACAAAGGACGACATGTTCTTCTAACGTTATATTTAGACAAAACACGAGGCTTCTTCCAACAAAGATTTTGCCAACTTCAGCAAACCATGACGTTACAGACATTGGAACAGGTTCACAAACAAATCATGATAATATCTTTTAGAGAAAAAATGCAAAAGCAATAGCAACTTAAATAAAGAAACCCCAAAATGTTTTGTTTATCCTACTTTTTAAGTAGGATAAACAAAATGAACTTATGAGTACAGTTAAATAAGCTTACATACCTGCTCTTGAACTATGATATTATATTCTCGTTGGTATTTTTCTGTGAGCTGGTTTTTAAGTCGCTCAGCCTTTGGAAGAATTTCCTAATGTAAAAAGTAAATAAATGATATAAGACTGGATGAGCTTACTACTTTTTATAAAGTACACACACACAAAAAAATAAAAAACAGCGTTGAATGTGATGAAACGTCAGTTTCTGGGTGAGATCCGGAGGTTCCCCGGAGCTAACTGGGCTGATATGAATGTATTAGACTCTGGCATCAGTCAATGCGCATGGAATTCTAGACCTACCGGGGATCATGAGCCAGAACCTGGCCTCCTCAGAGAGGCACAAGGAGCAATGGCTTATAGAAACCCCTCGTGTAGTTGGAAGTATTCTATGTCTGCCATCGACCAAGTCAGGAACCCAGAAAGGTAATCGCCCCAAAACAAACCCCAATTCTGGTTAAAATATTGCTTCTGAAAGCCGAACTTGTGGACAGAACTCCCCAAATGAAAACAGGCAAACGAGTATGATGTCACAGCGCCACTGTCTGCGCAACCCCCCACTCCCCGGGTGGGGGAAGGGGCAACCCCAGACCCCCACGCCGCATATCCACCCTGCAGTTCTGAGGCTGGATGTCAAAAACAGCGAAAAAGAACGCCGACTGGAGGGAGGGAGGAATACCGGGAAGCCTCCGGGTCTCACCCAGAAACTGGTGTTTCATTACCTTCAACACTGGTTTTCTGGGGGGAGTCCCTTCGACTTCCCGGAGCTACTGTACTTGCCCAAAGACAAAACAAGAGGGGACTTACAAGGGAGGCAGTCGGCTCTCGAAAAACAAAAAAACCCTGCATGAGGACAACGTGCCCAGGCAGAACAGAGCTGGCCACTATGAGAGGACAAACCTAGCTGCACAGTACCCTGCGCCCCAACCAGTGATGAAACTACCCCTACTCAGAGGCAAACAATGGTGCATGAAACACCCCAGCTGACTCCAAGGGTGGTTAATCACCTCGAGCAGCAAAAGATCTTGCGGAGTTAGACCCAAAGGTGATTTGTGGAAGGTGGCCCCAAGAGCAGTACTTACAGGGTACCTAGGGAAGGGTACCCTAGGCGCATGCAGCCTGAGTTCTTATGAAATAATTCCTTGCTCGTGCACCACCATTTAGACAGTATCACACCACAAAGCACAGAACTGGAAAAACAGGAGCCAGAAGTACACAACCTTGTCAGTTCACATCAGCCACAGAGCTGCAGGGTGGGTAGCCAGTGTGGAGATCTGGGGCTCCCCTTCCCCCTCCTAGGAAGGGGGAAGGGGGGTTTGCGTAGACAGCGACACGGTGACGTCATACTCGTTTGCTCCTTTTCATTTGGGGAGTTCTGTCCACTAGTTCGGCTTTCAGTAGCAATATTTTAACCAGGATGGTTAAATGGTTTGTTTTAGGGTGCTTACCTTTCTGGGGTGCCTGACCCGGTCGATGACAGACACAGAATGCTTCCAACCATACGGGGGTCTCTATAGGCCATTGCTCCTCATGCCTCTCTGAGCGGGGCCAGGTTCTGGCTCGTGGTCCCCGGGAGGCCTAGAACTCCATGCGCATTGACTGATGCCAGGGTCTAATACATTCATATCAGCCCAGTTAGCTCTGGAGAGCCAAAGGGGCTCCCCCCTTTCCCCAGAAAACAGCATTGAATTGAATGAAATGCATCTTTTTGGAGAAGGAGAAGGCACTGTCAGGGGAAAGTGCCAAGCCATTAAACTATATAGCACTTGGAAGGGATCAGGATAAGGATTTGGGATGGAACGGTGCCCAACCACTTGGACGGATGGAGATTGAACGCTGACCTGCATGAAGCGAGACCGTCGCTCTACCGTCCACCGAAAGTGGCTGGACATATTTCTGGAGTCTTCGGTGGCTACCTGTAGCCGTGCCACATTGGGTAGCTTCATGCCTATCAGATCACACCAGACCCTTGTGAGTCCATAAAAAGCCTGCCAGAGACCAGGGGCCAAAACCTGGCCTCTTCAAAGAAGTGCAGAAAGTGGGGATCAACTGATCACCCTCACCAAGGAACTAACCTACAGAAAGAACAAATAGAAACAGCCAACAGCAAGGTAAATGTAAACTGGCAACAACCCCCCCCCCCAGGAAATAATCCCCCCCCCCCCCTCCAGTAGTTAGGTTGTTTAACCTTATAGTTGCAGCTTCCCATGACCAGGTGGCAGTACCGAAGAGTACTACCACCCTCCAAACCACCAGTCTAAATCCGACTGAAAGTATGTTCATGTACCTGAAAGATGGAGAGTCCAGGGAGTTACCAAGGTCTCTCCAGAAAGACATTTTCTGAAAGGGGCCACTCGGCGGCTTCCTGTATCTAATACACCACAGAGAAAAATCATGGAATGTATCTCCCAATGCAACAAGCAGTATAATGGAGGCAGTAAGAATGGCCATCAGAATACAGCAAAGCCAAAGTACAACCATCATATTCTTACCCTGTGAAGGCAAAATCAGAAGGCTAGTGTTCCATAATAAGACCTGAAAACTGGAAAGGGCATGCTAGGTCCCGAAGGATAGACTAAGCAGGAACACCAGAGGTGCCACTCACCGAATACACACCAAAAACAGCTTAAGAAAAACCTGGCTACTAAGGGTGTAAGTGGTGCATGTAAGGGGAGCCGGTCGGCTGAGTGGACAGCATGCTGGGCTTGTGATCCTGTGGTCCCGGGTTCGATCCCAGGCGCCGGCGAGAAACAATGGGCAGTTTCTTTCACCCTATGCCCCTGTTACCTAGCTGTAAATAGGTACCTGGGTGTTAGTCAGCTGTCACGGGCTGCTTCCTGGGGGTGGAGGCCTGGTCGAGGACCGGGCCACGGGGACACTAAAGCCCCTAAATCATCTCAAGATAACCTCAAGAAGATGGAGCACAGAAACTACCTGTGCAAGCCATAAACAAAATTTTGGCTGCCCTTAACCTTATGGCCTCACAGAGTTGTCAAAAGTCCTTGAACCACCAAGGGTGAGGTCCCCTTCCTAAGAAGAAGCCACCCTCTCAGAGACAATACCCCATACCCCTGAGAGAAAGATACTCTTGCCAGACAAGGATGTCAGCGCACACATAGGCACATGCAGCTGGACATTAACAGTTAATCAGAGTCCATCCAAAAAGTGATGCATAAACACACATGCATCATGAAGAAAATACTAAAGCATGAATGAAATATGCAAGCAAATGGTCCCCTGCAAGACAAACAGGATGGCAAGCACCTATCTGAAAAACTGGAACTCCTATGGCAAGCAGTTATCTGAAAAACCGGAACCCATATGGTACTGGGACAGGAAGAGAACATAGCAGTGAATGTGATCAAACATGCACCAGGCATACAGTATAGTTGAGGGGGATATAGTAGGAAGATATGCAACCCCTGGTGATGCACAAGTAGAACTAAAACCTTCCTGAGACCTTTTCAGGGTAGGGAGCTTTGCATTTCCCTGCTCCTTGTGCCTCTATAGAGTAGCCAGGTTTTGGATGTACTCACTGATAGGCTTATTTAAGACTTTACTAGGGCTGGTATTGATCGAGTTGGGTGAAACTTACCAGGCATCAAGCATCTAAGAGCCACCTATGGCTCTAAGAGCCTCCCAGAAATTTATTTTTATATACTGAGCATCTAATTCCAATCTTCCAACCATCTCTTAAACATAAAAGATAACTACAGTACTAAGATCAGGTTGTTACAGGAAGCTAGTACCCTATTTTGCCTATTTTGCTTATTTTTTATTGAGTTAATTTATTACTTAAAAGATTTTACTTCTATTTAAAACTAAATAAATATTTACACAAGCCTGAATAGTGTGCTAAGGTAGCTATCTTGTTTCTATACCTCGTACAATGATTAAATGGTGTTTCTATATGTTAGTACAATATAAAATTATATGTGATTAGTACTGTATATGCAAATAATGCATATCCAATTTACACTATCATTACCTTTTTATTAGTTATCTTACAATTGCATAATAATTGCATTACAGTATTAGGATCATTAAATACATGGCTTGCATGCCAAAATATGTCAAACCTCCAGTACTCCACATCACTCAGTTTGTCTTCACCCTGCTGACCTGCTTTTATCATCTCTCTCTCTTTATAGTTCATACTGTATGTACATAAACCTCAGTTTAACTCTACTGCTTTGCCTTTATCAAATCTCTTAAATATATTTTCATATAATAGTTCTTCTGACCTTCTAGGTACAGTATTTTGCTATACTGTATAGGGATCCCATTATAAAACTTACCTTAAGTTTCTTAGTATTATTGGTTTTGTCAATTGATGAGTGGGTAGCAAAGTCTGGGTGGCTTCGTATCTTTTCTAAAAATAGCCTGCAAATGAAAGTTACATCTAATCTTATTACATTTGATGACAATAACATGAAAAGAGAAATGCATATATTTATTACAATACCAGAAATCAGATGAAAATCACTTATTTTAAATAATACCCAGTTCACAAACATTATACAGTACAGTACTTACGTCATGAATTTCATATACAAAATGAAGGCATTTTCAAGGCTTCCTTCTTCATCATAAACATCAGCCATTCGAACCATTTCTAAGCCCGATCTGAAGTATCTGCAAATTTGTAATGCCCATTAATTAGGTATTTCACTGTCATGAAACTGGTGTAGCATTTTGATGATATTTCAGTTTTGTCATTATTAAGGACAGGAGGCCCATTAAGTTATCAAGGTTCTCTAGGATAGTCAACCATATTCAACATAACAGGATCTAGCCAGTAACTGGATGAGTGTAAAGACAGCCCTGCCCCCCCCTTACTTACATTCTTACTCAGGTTACAAGGGTAACCTGAGAAAGCAATATATTTCATATCCCCAATATGGCACATGTATACCCATCTGGTTTAACCAATTTAAATCTTTCTCAATTTTCTGAATATCATTTATGGTACTACATTAAACCCATTAGCAGAATATTTACAATAAAAACAGTGTGGAATGTAATGAAACACCTCTTTCTGGAAGAGCCCAGTTGGCTTCCCATAGCAATCTTGCTGAGATTTATCCATCAGTTGCGGAAGTTCTGTTTGACTTACTGGGGGGACCAGAACCTGGCTTCCCTCACAAAGTGCAGGAGCAGGAGACAATCTGCCACTCCACTGAAAAAACCAGCATTGAATGTAATGAAATGCCATTTTCTGGGCGAGTCCCAGAGGCTCCCCAGAGATATACCAGGCTGATATGTATATATTAGACCGCGGCATCAGACAATTTGATTGGAATTCTAGCCTACCAGGGACCACAAGCTAGAACCTGGCACCCCTCAGAGAGGCATGAGGAGCAATGGCCTATAGAGACCCCCAATATGGTTGGAAGCATTCTATTTCTGCCATCTACCAGGTTAGGCACCCAGAAAGATGCCTAAAAAAAAGGTCTCCAGCAGAGCCAACTGAACGAGTCAGTGTCGACCGTCCATTCCGTGGACAGGGGAATAAACCAGGACAGGCCATCCGCCAGGACGTTGGACATTCCCTGGATGTGAACCGCCAAGAGAGCCCAAGAACTCAGCAGATGAGTCACCCGAAGCGATCAGCCCCAAAGATCCAAGGACCACATCAAACCCCCCTTTTTTCAGGCAATGAACCACCTGGGTGCAGTCTAAATTGAGTCTGAATTACTAACCCTCCAAAGCAACAAAGCCCTCCAAATGTACTCACTAGAAAGAAGACGAGAGAGATATAAAATAATATACACCTGGAAGATACTGGAGGGCCAAGTACCAAATCTACACAGTAAAATAACACCGTACTGGAGTGAACGACATGGAAGAAAATGCAGAATAGAACCAGTGAAGAGCAGGGGTGCCATAGGCACAATCAGAGAACACTGTATAAACATCAGAGGTCCACAGTTGTTCAACATCCTCCCAGAGAGCATAAGAAATATTGCTGGAACAACCGTGGACATCTTCAAGAGGAAACTAGATTTATTCCTCCAAGGAGTGCCGGACCAACTGGGCTGTGGTGGGTATGTGGGCCTGCGGGCCGCTCCAAGCAACAGCCTAGTGGACCAAACTCTCACAAGTCAAGCCTGGCTTCGGGCCGGGCTTGGGGAGTAGCAGAACTCCCAGAACCCCATCAACCAGGTATCAACCAGGTATCAACATCCACACCGGCACGAACTCCCACACCGTGCTGCGAGCCCGATGGAAGGACGGACCGTCCCACCTCCCCTGGCCACCCTGGTGAGCACCAGGCACAAACCCCCAGCCAAGAGATGATGCATCCGTGAACACATTGAGCCAGGACTCGGGGAGACGCCATGACACTGAATCCAAAACAACCAGAAAAGGAAGCCGGTGACACAGCAGCTGACACAAGACCCTTGAAGGCCGTACCCAGCGATCACGAGAGCAGCGTCCCCAAAGGAACCAGAACAGCCACTAAAGCCAGACCCGACCCGGCGAGTAAACCTGCACAGCAAAGTTCACGCTCCTGCACAGTTACTCGAGCAACTGACAAGTGACCCGAGAGCCCCCAGAAGCAGCGAAAGGCAGGACCGCAGCCGCAGTAACGATGCTGGGGGAGGGACACGAGGCGGCGGTTCGAGAGTCCCACACAAGAGCCAACCAAGCCCAAACCTGAGAGGGAACCAGTTGGAACTTCCTCCAGTTCACCAAGAACCTGAACTCGGGGAGCTGGGAAAGAGCTAAACCTTTGGCTAGCAGACACAAGGATGGGCTGGAACCCCACACCAGCCAGTCGTCGAGGTATGCCAGAACCCGAACCTCTAACAGACGCAAGTGGGTCACCACAACCTGGGTAAGGCGTGTCAACAAGCGAGGTGCCAGATTCAAGCCAAATGGAAGGCAACGGAAGTGATAAGCTTGCTGCCTCACAACAAAACCAAGCCAGGCCCTGAACCATGGATGAATAAGCATTTCTGTGCCAATAGGCATCCCAGAGGTTCAGACACACCATCCAAACATCCTGCTCCAAAAGAAGCCAGACCTGGGGACAGAGTGGTCATCCGAAAGCAAGGGCAAAAGACCCAGGGATTCAGACAGGACAAGTCCAGAATGAATCTCAGATCTGCACAGTCCCGTTTCAGAAACTGGAAACAGTTCTGAAACAGGGAAACCCACCTGAAGGATGGGGTCGTTTGGACTATGCCCAAGAACACCCACTCCAAGATGATCTGACAGAGCACAGGGGAAGAGACTTGTCCCACGAACCCCAAACTCCCCAAAGGAGAAGCCACCCAACGCCACCGCAGGCGAGATGAAATGACCCAAAAAATTCACAAATTGTGGGACCAGGCGTGAGCAGACGGAACGAGCTGACCCCCCCCCCCTTCGCCCTGTCAATGGGGCGAACCACAAAAGGGCCAATGCCCCTTACGTGAACCCAAACGACATGCAGAGCAATCACCGCGCCGATCAGACACATGGAGCTGTACCTGACCAATATCCTTAGGAAGAGCGGGGCAAACAAGCATGCATTGAAATGCTCCAACTCGCCCCCCAGGTAAACCTGAACCACAGTAGAAGTTTACCACCACTCAAGTGTGCGGGTTCGACAGAATGAATACCACACCCCTAATGAAAAGAAAGGACAGTCTGCTAGCCAAGATGACTCCAGGACCTTGTAATGCACCCTCTAGTATCAGATCAGTACTGTATCACTGGCGTTGCATGCATGTAATGCATGCAATGCCAATGCCGCCTGCACCCCTAGTATCAGAATCAGTGGACTGGGTGAATTGTAGAACCAGCAAGGAACACACCACTCACAGGACTCCGGGTTGAAGGTGTCACCGACCCAGCAGGCAGCATGATGGAGGCAAAACCAGTGAATGTCATCCCTAAGACAAGGGGACAGAGCAACCTTCAAACTCGCACAAGGCAAGATGGGACCCAGAGGACTCATCCATCGGACCAATGAGCCCCATGGGGTTTTCCAGGGCCCTTAGACTGACTACTAAGGGAAGCCCAGGCAAGGTACTGTTAACCGGTTGGCCCAACTATCGAAAGATCTACTAAAGCTGAACCCCTGCGATGTGTATAATCGCAGGGACCTAGCAAGGGACCACCAGAGTAACAGAGGGTGGACAAAAAGCAAGGGGCATACCCCCACCAGGCAACAAACAAAAATTAAAAGAAAAGCCCCGCAAAAGTACAACGTCTCCAGGAGGAACAAAACCAGCTGCTGTAATTACCTAAGTGTAGTTACAGGATGAGAGCTACGCTCGTGGTGTCCCGTCTATGTAATAGGTGACAAGCTGCACAGTACCTTGTGCCCCTACAGCAATGATACTACTTCCTACCCAAGGTCAAACAGCAGGAATGAAAACCCCATTTGACCCCAAGGGCGAGCAATCACCGAGCAGCAGTGACCCCATGGGCGAGCAATCACCGAGCAGCAGAAGATTCCTATGGAGGTAGTTCTCGAATGACTTGTGGAAGGCAACCCCAATCGCAAGGGTAGTAATTACAGGGCACCTAGGGCCTGTAATTACTAGGCCCTAGGCCATAGTACTCAGTGAATTACTCCTGACACACACCACCACACAGCAGAGCACAAGCACAAAGGGACAGCACTGCTCAGAGACAGGAGCCAGAGTTGAACAACCGCCATGCAACACATCAGTCTCAGAACTGAGGTTGGGTAGCCGGCACACGGTGTCTGGGGCTCCCCCATCCCCCTCCCAAGGAAGGGGAAAGGGGAGCGCCCCTCAGTGAATGTCACCCTGAGACAGGGGAATTGAGCATCCTTCGAAGCGGGAGGAGTTACGCAGACAGCGATACGGTGGCAGTTGTAACATCATGCTTGTTTACTTGTTTTCAGATTGTGGAGTTATGCTTGATAGTTTGGTTTTCAGTAGCAATTTTAACCAGGTGGAGTCTGTTTTGGGATGCCTACCTTTCTGGGTGCCTAACCCAGTAGATGGCAGACATAAAACGCTTCCAACCACATGGGGGGTTTCTATAGGCCATTGCTCCTCATGCCTCTCTGAGGGGACCAGGTTCTGGTTTGTTGTCCCAGCAGGCTAGTACTCCAATTGAATTGACTGATGCCACAGTCTAATATACTGTATACATATCAGCTCAGTATACCTTCGGGGAGCTGGAGGGGGAAGAGAACCCTGACACCCAAATGAAGTACTCACAGAGCACTTAGGGAAGGCTGCCCTAAGCGCATGCAGCCCCGGTACACCTGGCCACCATGAACAGCAGAGGACACCACTAAGGCAAAACACTGCCAGGAAACCAAGGCTAGATTTGACAACCAGCGCGGGGGGCCTAGGGCTCCCCCCTCCCCCTTCCCCCACTGGGGGAGGGGAGGGCTGCGCGGACGAGCGGCTCGGCAGTGAGGAGTGGCATTTGCTTATTCCTTGGGAATTGAGGGAGTTCTTCATCTCTGTTCGGTTTTCGGTTGCAATTTTCTTACTATGTGGGGTCTGTTTTTTATGCCTACCTTTCTGGGTGCCTAACCCTAGTTGATGGCAGACAAGAAAAACCCCAACTACGGGGGTTTTCCAGAGGCCATTGCTCCACGTGTCTCTCTGAGGGGGCCAGGTTCTGGCTCGAGGTCCCCAGCAGGCTGAACTCCATTGACTAATGCCCTGGTGTAATGTATCACATATTAGCCTGATAGCTCCAGGGAGCCGGAGGAGTCCACAGAAAAATAACTGTCATATTATGATACCCCTAATGCACAAGACCAGCATTTCTCAACCTTTGTACCTTTGAGAAATTCCAGGTTATACACACACATGGATTTCATTATCAATTGCAAGGAGATGATTTCTATCTTTGCTCTTGATGCTGGTTAAATGAGAAAAATTAAACAAATATTATTCAAAAATATATTTACATATTACTAGAATTTGCCTATTGATCACTATCTCTAGTGGAATCCATCCAGTAATTACCTCGGGGTTCCTGAGAATCAAAGTTAAGAAATGCTGCACTAGACAATAAACACATGATAACGACCACACTTTGAAGGTTAAAAATGTGTATGGCATCTTTTTCATAATCATTATTATTTATTTTTTGGGGGGGAGAGGTGGGGGGGGGGCACTGTTGAGGTATATCCTCTTACTCAGCTCAGAACAATTAAACAATAGTACCTATAATTTTTGTGCTTATTTTCCCCAACTCGTTATAATTTCTTCCATAAATCCACAACAAAATATTGTATAGTACTGTATTTTATTTAATTTTACACTGGAGAAGGATCAGATGAAAAAATACTCAGTATATGGGATTAACAAAAATAATCAATAAAATAAAACAGCCCTCTAACAAAATACACTTTGTAAATTAAAACTGACTTACCTGCGAATGGGTATTTTTCCATCAACTACAACCGAGTCACTGTGTGAGCACAATTGCTTGATACGAGATGCGGGCTCCAAGTGAGAATAATCCGAGCCAGACATTCTACAAACACAAAGAAGCCTGGTAAGCCCCAAAATCAAAATTAAAAGATTCAGTATATTCTACTAAAAATAAATACTATACAGTAGTATAATAGAACAATATTTAAATATAAAATTAATGCCATTCACACACAATAATAATTGGCAAGCAACCCATCCTGGAGGAAGCTTAATGTTTCCTTATTATTTGAGGAATCATCTTAACCTAATGACTGTGACTATGCTGGATATATACCCACGAGGAACGAATACAGTATAAAACCAGAATTCTCCTAGTAGTGCAATATATTCAGGGAGGAAGCAGAAAGGGGAAGAAGGAAGAAAGGGGAATGAGAGGGGAGGAGAGGTGAGAGACAGACAGGAAGAAGGATGAGGTGGGACTTGGGGGAAGAGATGATTGGGGAGAGGGAGGAAAATAGAGTGGAGGGAGGGAGGGGGGGGGGAAGATTGGGAAAGATGGTGGAGAGGGGTGAGAGGGAGATGGGGGGAGGGGAAGAGATGAGAAAGAGGAAACTGGGAAAGTGGAAGAGATGGGGGGAGGGACAGGAGAGGGGGAAAGGGAGTGAGAGATATGTGCAACTGGATACCCCATCTAGTATTTTATAAATGTTTACTAAGCTTTAACTGTACTAAATAAATAGTTTGTGAATAAAATAAAGAGCAGTTATGGCATGACATAACACTGAACCCTTCTAACCATAAAGACTTAGATGCTACTGCTTACAAATATGCATGCAGCATGGTAGCCTGGGTCAACAGTTAGTCAGTAGCTAAGAGAATGGACAATAACTATAGATATTGAGGACTCCAAGGCCAGTTCAGGGTACCCGCATTAGTTTAGCATTCAACATGATATAATTGCATTTTATTACCTCTGGGCCTCTGGGTTACCAGTCTGTGCTACAAAAAAGTAAGCAAACAAGTAACTATTAGTATTTTTATGCATAATTTATATTTATAGGCACATAACTATATATATCTTATTTGTATCAAAATATGCATAAAATTTATTGTATCACTTTCTGTAAGAAAAATCCAGAAAATTTGGTACAGTATATAGCTCAAAAATGGTAAATCTCATGCAATTTTGAATTTGGTAATGAATAATATAATCTGGATTTCGGAGATGCACCTATAGTGCAGTGTTGAACTGTCCAAAACTTTGACACTACAGTACAGTATTTGCAAGAAGCTCTCATGACTTGGTATAGATCTTACAAGGGTTTGTTTCCTCGCTGTTGGTATCAGAGTAAAGACCCCCAGAGCAATAGTCAGCCTCATATTTCTATGTTTAGACTCAGCTGAAGGTAAGTCTTAAAACATGAACAATGATCATTGACTTCACTTCAGAGGTTGTGCCTTCACTTAGGTCTTGCCTTAGGGATATCCTTTATCTAACATACCCAATTTTATTCAATTCTTCAGTTAACACTTTCGCGCTATCTGGACGTGCCGGCGCGTTCGGTTTCGTCTAACGTAAACGCATAGTGGACATAAAGTTATGTCTACTTTTAAAATATTTGTATAAAATTCAATTTTTATCCAATTTACTTTGGGTTTGTTTCAAACTGCGAGCTATGAGGCTCTCTTTCTCACCACTAGGCTGCATGGTACAATAAGTTCATGAAAGGTGTGGATAACTTCGATCAAATGGTATTTTGTCCCAAACGGGTTGCAGGTGGGTGACTTTAGCCGTTTATACTGGTAATTCTTCCCCCATATCATGTATTATATGCATATGTCTGTTTAGGGAATTTTATTCCGATCAATATACAACCAAAAATAACTGTGTGCAACAAGTATAATCTTGACAAACATAACAAAAGTAAAAATATTTCGTGTGTGTTTGACGCTCACTGATATGTTCCAGCGTTGTTTTATATTTGTCGCTATTCTAACTTACGCTTTGTTGATATTTTTTACCTATGGGCACATAGAACATTCTATTGCGAACACATTGACATAAAAATGAATGACGTACATAGAAAATTAATGTCATGAGAGTGAAATAAGTATAAACTTTCAAAGCGCCGTGCGTCGTCCCGTCACCGATACCGGGTAACAATTTCACCACTTCCCACACTCTTGCGGGCGGGCTGCATCATTATTCTACGCTTATATTCATATCACCGTGTTGGGAATTTCATTGCGAGTCCATTGATACCAAAATTAACGCTGTAGAATAAGTGTGGAGGTGATTACAATCCCAAGAGTAAAAACATTTTGTTGCTGATGGGCGCTCACGGCGAGTCATCTACGTAGTTATTTATTTGGTGCTGGTATCCCTATATGTTTCGTGACTTATTTTACTAATGTTCTTCTAGAGAATTTTATTGCGAACACGTTGGTACCAAAATGAAATACGTAGCATGAGAACTAAGGTCAGAAGAGTAAAAAGAGTATACACATTTTTGTTTTTACGCTTAAGCGATAAAAACGCAGCGCGCACATTCGGTTGGCTGAGTGACCTTTGCGGAGAGCGCGAAAGTGTTAAGATGGTGTTCTGATCAGATGATTCTGCAATTAATCTTAAGGAGAGCATTGTAGTTTTCCCAAGATGGACTGGTTGCAATTAATGCATTAAACAATGCCATTCAAATTTCTTTTAAATCAAAATATACAAATCTTAATTCATAAATCCATTATCATGTTTCTTTAACTATTAATTATACCTGAAATGATAACAGCTGCAAAGAAATGTTATTGGTAAAGTAAGACTAAAACAGCAGTTCAAAGTGTACAAGAATAAACCCAAGATTAAATACGAGGTAAGACAGGTAGGAGTATGGCGCCCTCCGAACTAGCAACTTCTGGAAGAAGTCATTCTACACGTGATGCGGGACACCATCCTGGGTTTCGATGGTAAAGCATATAGACAAATTAAAGGTAGTGCCATAGGCACCTCAAGCAGTGTCACCATAGCAGTAGGGATATTGACAATATTTTTGGTATCATAGCAGGAGGATATACAGAGGTTACAAGATTTCTTCATGTGGACATATACGATCCCAGAGCAATCTTAAATTCACCCTATTAGAAAATGAACATTCATTATCTTTCCTAGACATAACAATATACATAGATCCACAGGATAGGACCCTGCAAACAAAAGCATACTATAAACCAACCAATCTCCATTCATACCCACTCTTCACATGAAGCCATCCTCTCTCACTCAAGAGATCCCTACCCTACTCCCTAGTACTGAGATTGAGAAGAGTATCAAGCAAAGAGCATAACTTACAACCGGAATTGAACAACCTCTGGGAACTTTTCAGAGGTCGAGGCTACCCAGACGAAATACTGCAGAATGCAGCAGACAGACTAGAGAGAATAGATACAGGTACCCATCTACAGGCAACACAAAGAGGTAGCAACACAGACAGACGGATCCTAACTTCTTTATATTTCAGGTTTTGCGAGCACTCTACAACATATGAAGTAATTGTGGGAGTGGTTAAAAAATACACATAGCGAACATCCAGTTTGGCCAGTTCAATTTCTAAGTACGTGTATATCCAGCAGAGACCACCCATGAGGGCATAGACAAAAGGTAAATCCCTCAAGGACCACTTGGTCAGAGCGAAATTTGCATACAAGCCAGGCTCTCCCAACAATGCTTCGACCCACTGAGGGGAAATACTAGCAGTCAAACCCTTTTAGGCATTATGTCAAGTGGTTAAGGAGGCCCCTTCAATCCAAAAAATTACATACTGGTTTTTGGAGAAAGTTCAACACAGAGGGATAAAAATCGTCCCTGAACTTAAGTCAACTCTCATACCAGGCGTAGTTCAAAGCCTTAAACTACAAGCAACACTACAAACCAGACATGGCATGGATAATCTCTTCGAGATCTTCAAAATACTGTACATAAATAAAATTGGAAGACTTTAATGCAGAACACTTACACAGAGAAATCACATTATCGTGATATATCAATGAGAAAATCCACAGGAGCCAAGATGAGAGTTTGAACCTGTCTATTGAAAGAGGGGCGTCAGAGGTAGAATTACTGGATGACAGAGCCAGAGTGCATAGTGGGAATTGTGTGAAACCCTGGTTCAGCTTCAGTGGAAGCCTCAGGATCCTCGAGGGTGCAGTAGTACCCCAGGCTGCAATTATTTTGCCATGTCGTGGTATAGTCGACTAGAGCGTGCATTTGGGAACATTCAGCGCATAGGTTCAAACCCTCATCACGGCTCCTGTGGATTTTTCTCCAGAACATTTCTTTAAATGGTCCAGTGTAATGCACAGAGAGGACAACAGCTTCAAGTTCAACAAGCTATAATATAGGATATAAAACAGTGAATTTTTTTCACGCATAAGGCAATACAATATACACATGGAATCACCTAGCACCAAAGATGTAAATGCCAAAACATTACTTCAGTCTAAAATTCAGCTGGAAGAATCCTTCAGTATAATGTGGGAACCTTAAGCTACTGGCTACCTGTCCCCATCAAGACTTCTAGAGATGGTAACTCTCAGGTAAACATGTGTTCATAGAATGCAGTGATCATGCAGCCTAGCAAGTCACGTGATTTTCATTTCATACATAAAAACTGATTCCATGGTCTGAATGTTTCATATTTGAAAATGGGTTTATACAAACACATTAAACAATATTCTTTACATAACCCTATTTTAGTTAAGTTTAGGTTGTCTAAATATCTCTATATAAGATACCTGATTTATAATAATAATTGATTTATATAACATACATTAGAAACATAATTGTCAAGTATTCATAACTACACAATGCATATTATATAATGCCACTGATGTGCAAAGCATTTTATGCATAATGTGTTTATTTCCAGCAAAATTAAAATGTAAAAAATAAGTGTGTTTAATAAGAACATACAGTATTGACAGTAAAAATAACAAATGTTGCCTTAAGTACATTTCTGCCGTAAGTAATATGCTGTACATATACCAGTACATGTAAATCCATATGTAGATGAGTCACAATAACACGGCTGAAGAAATGTTGACCAATCCAAACTAGAAGATGAAGAGATGATGACGTTTCGGTCTGTCCTGTAGCATTATCAAGTCAAATGGCCATCAACACAATCGACTCGATAATGAAACTGAAACGGACAGACTGAAACGTTGTCGTCTCTTCATCTTCTAGTGTGTGGTTTGGTCAACATATAAATCCATTTTGTTAGGATAGTTGCTGGAGGTTATCTAACTAAAGCCATTTAATGTAACAACACATACTATAAGTCCCAGTAGTACGATTGGGTTCGTTCTCGACTCAATTGAGAATTCCAGGTTCTAGTTATGGATGAGGACAGATATGGGTGGGCACATTTTCCATCACCGAATGCCTCTCCTGTTCACCTAGCAGTAAATAGGTACCCCAGGTGTTAGTTAACGTCTTGTGGGATTGCATCCTGAAGAGGGTTTGTTGTCTGACCTGGGGGGACCTCGACATAAGCAAACGTTTATATATACACTTGCTGCCTGTCTCCGACACAATACATTACGCCTTATTATTATTATTAATACACAAGGCATTTCTGACTTGGCCATCAACACGATTGCGCATTGGAATTTGCCGTGTACTAATCTAGTGAAGTTTTCCAAGACCTCAGTACTGACAGAGGTCAGGTTTGACAGAGGTCAGGTTTGACATATTGTTACAAATATATTGACTAATAACTTAAAACTAGAACCACACTGCCTTAGTAATCGGGTGGGTAAGACACAAAGTTTTCAGTTACGCCTACCTAGCACGCATTGCTCTCTCAAAGTACTCTCTAACAGCTCTTGAGATAACACCACACATGATTGTGGCGCTTCTCATAACTTTCTAGAAGTGCTGACCTGGGAGCGGGTAAGGGTAGAGGTGAGAGGTGAGAGCCGTGGTGACGACACTAAGTGAAAGGTGCAGGACTAGTGACGTCACGTGTTGACACCATCAGCTGACTCACACCAAGCCCCGCCCACATGGGTCTCCCATCCACAGGGACCCCATCCAAATGGAGCTCCCATCCTGTGAGATGGGAATATTAGAAGAACTTATAGCTAGTTTTTTTTATCTACACTGTAATCTTTCATATAGAATAGGATAGCAGCACATTGCTGTGTATTCCTAAGCTTGTTAATAAAAAAAAGGTCGTATTTTACGCCTGAAAGAATTTTCAGACTTTTTATTATTAACAAGCTTAAGTATACACAGCAGTGTGCTGCGACCTTATTCTATATGAAAGATTATACAGTGTCGATAAAAAACTAGCTATAATATTCTAATATTCCCATCTTACAGGATGGTTACTCAACATGGAATCAGGAAAGAAAATACCAGCCTCAATACAAAAGCAAATCATCTCTGACTAAAAATTAGGAGAGAACATGAAATGTAAAACTGATCTATTAGCCGCCACTAGGAAATTCTGGGTACAGCACAAGAATATCTTTCAATAGTCCTGAGTGAATGGGCATTCATTACCTGCAACCAACTGCCATAGATATCGCTACCCCAGCCTAATTCTGGCAATTGCAATGTCACACTGTCTAGTGGATGTTTTATGCTGCCCGTAGTATATAATTATCGGTTCTAAACATGTCATAGCTCTTTATACTCGTGTTTTCTAACCTTTGTGTGTCAGTAACTGCTCTTCTGCCTTCCCTATTTTTCCTGAAATACTGCGGCTTTTACAGCAAAGATGGAATGCCCATATCCAACTCAATTTTAGGCATATCACATGCAATTTTAGCTGACTTGTCTGTGTCATCATGCTGGACAACACCCATGTGAGATGATATCCATACAAATGAGACTCTGAAACTCTTGCTCTTTGCTTATGTTGCTTATATAATGTTGTTTATAATGGATGATACAACATTCCTAATGTCTATTTTGCATGTCGGGTTTTTAAGGGCCTGAAGAGCTGACTTTGAATCACAGAAAATAACTCTTACAGCGTTCTTTAGTGCGTTAGTGGCAAGTTGTAGTGCAGCTAATTCTGCATGTGTTGAGCTCAGCCAGTTATTCAGTGTCACACTTGTTGTCTGTGTGCATATGTTGCCTTTGTATATTCTACAGGCTGCTGCAGTGTGACCCGTTAACATTTGAACAGACCCATCAGCGTAAACATAGTGCTCGTGAAGCCGTAAGTTATTTATAAAGGAATAAGTGGTTTCAAGTGTTGATGCTTTCAGGAGTTTAATTTAGTTCATTTATTATGCACCCCATACCCATCTTGTGGGCGGTAGTGGAAAGGGTTACAGAGGCACATGATGGGCTCAGGGACTGAACCCCACAATTCATTTAGCTAAGCAAGTTACAATCTTGATGAGCTAGTTACAAAATTCAGTACAAGTCGTCACATCAACTATGCGTTCGAGATCGATCACAAGTACAGTTTCTAAATTAAGCAACTGACATATGTGGAGAGCTAGTGTCACAATTGATATGTTTGTCCTGTACACCGCCCCCCCCCCTTTCCAGTGAGCAGAGGTGGATAGGTGCGTTATCCACTGCTGTGGATAACCCACAGGCTACCATAACCTGTGGATAACTCGATGTCTGAAAACCCGAAATCGACCCACCTCAGAGCAGAGTATGCGTCCCTAATGCAGGGGACATTCTTCTCGAAGTACTATTATCGGCAACAAGCACGCATCTAGATCCAGAATTCCTTTGTGTAGCAGTGGCCCTCCACCTTGGTGCCCCAATTCACACTGAATACAAGTTTATTTGCAAGAGGGTGGCAGCAGACCAATTTGAAGTGCATGGGTTGCACCACGGAAACCTCAAGAGCTGGCATACAAGACACAACGAGGTGAATGACATCATGAAGAGGAGCCTTGCCTCAACTCAGTCCCCAGTGGAGAGAGAACCTCGCATGTACAAAACATGTACAAAACCTTATTCCTAAATGCTAATTCTGATCTGAAACTCTTCCTTGATATATGTAATTGAAGTGAATATGGCACTCACTCCCTAATGAATTAAAAAATTGTGTAACCTGTTCCTCATTCAAAAGTAAAATAAAAAAGTGGCTAATTACATCCTCATAGTTTCCTACCTTGTGCAACCCACTCATCCAATTTAAAGTATTTAAGACATGCAACTTCACCAGTGTAATCAATACTAGCAATTTTTATTTTAGTTATTATGTTGAAATCAAATTCTGCTACAATTAATGTAACTTAATTATTTTTACTTTTATCTGTTAGATTAAGGACTAAGCATAGAGAAGCGTGATAACTATTAATTATTATAATAATCATTATAATAATTATTATAATAATAATTCCTGCATTTAATAATTATCACTCTTCCATCTGCTTGGTCTTGAAGGAAGCCGAACTCGGGTGAAAGAGGGTTGTGACGATCTCTGTCTGGAACCCGTAGGTGCAGGACTGGGACGTCCACCTCCTGGGGCTCGTGGGGCAGGCTCTGCTTCAGGAGGCTGGAGTCGTTCTTGCCCTTGATGGGTGGGTTCTTCTCCGGCCCTGACCACGGCGTTCTCCAGGTTTGGAGTCCCTGTGCATTCTTTCACCAACTTCAAGGTCAACTCCGGAGCTCACAGTTCCTGCGATGGCGCTGGAACCAATCGTATTGGCGTTTGCCTTTCCATTGGAGACTTTCGGTGCCGTGGTGAGGGGGGTACCTGCTTCTTGGGTAACAGCTTCTCCGTATCAACCTACCCTGGCTTTGCGCCCTGGAGAGGCCACTCCAGACCGACAACCAGAGCGCAACTCCATAGTCTCCTATGACTGATAAATGCCTACTATCAAGATCCAGCTCAAAACGCTATGCGTGTTAGTGGCTTTACAAGAATGCAAGAACACCAATGTTCAGAAATTTTAGCCAAATATCCCCAGTTTGCTAACTGTAGGTAGTAACTAAGTGATTGTAACCTATCCACCGCTGCCCACTGGATGGGGGGCGGTGTGCAGGACAAACATATAAATTTTGACACTAGCTCTCCACATATGTCAGTTGCTTAATTTAGAACCTGTACTTGAGGTCGATCTCGAACCCATTGTTGATGTGATGACTTATATTGAATTTTGTAACTAGCTCATCAAGATTGTAACTTGCTTACCTAAATGAATTGTGGGGTTCAGTCCCTGAGCCCATTATGTGCCTCTGTAACCCTTTCCACTACCGCCCACAAGATGGGTATGGGGTGCATAATAAATGAACTAAACTAACTGCACTCTCACAACCCAATGTACCTTCTTGTATAAATAAATAAATAAATAAATAAATAAATAAATAAATAAATAAATAAAAAGTTAAATAAATAAAAAATAAATAAACATTTTAAAACAAGCATGCTCTCCAATGCAATTAAATTCACGCAGTTATCATATGATCAAACTGGTGAAACATCCGTTAACCGTTAAGCTAAACTAACAGAGTTTAGAAACTAACAGAGAAATATAGTTTCTCATATTTATATAACATAAATATATGCATTCCCCATATATTTATGCAGAGTGCATATAACATATATCCTTGGATGTTAAGGATATTTATTTATTTATTTATTTATTTATATACAAGAAGGTACATTGGGTTTGTGAGAATACATAGCATGGTACTTACAATCTTGTAAAGCCACTAGTACGCGCAGCGTTTCGGGCAGGTCCTTAATCTAACAGATAATTTTAAGTAGGTCAATTCTAGCAGAATTAATAAAATGATAACAGATACATTGAAAGAAAAAAATGAGATGAGAGAGATTAGTAAGTATATTAAAGCACATTGGTATATTAAAGCTCTGATTGCATTTTCAGCTTGACTGGAAATTAAAACAAAGATTAATAGGCACCATACAGCAAATTGATAGCACATATAAGAAGACAGCAATGATCACAATGGTAAAGTTGTTTGGATTGGGTACATAAAGACTGGGAGATTGGATTATATGTTATAGATGAGCATCCTAATGATGTTCCTCTATAGCATGTTTCAAATGTACTTTATATAAATAAAAAATATTATTAGATATACGGATACAATCACGGATACAATTTTAACTTAAAAAAAAGTTAAATCATATTGGGTGATAAACTGACTTATCAGGAGAAGTCGAACGAAGAACACTGACGTCAGTGAACCAAGTCTAATCTATGTAACAGATAACTAAAATATTTAATCTTAAACATCACCCACTTGGGTCTGTATAAGAACTTTTACCATATGTCGTTGTTTTAGATTCTCTTTGTAAGGCTTGTGATGCAGCCTTACCATATCACGGGCTATGGTGAGCCCGTAGTGGAACAGGACCTGGCACACCGGAGGCCCATTATATTGAAAATAAACGGTAAAAATATAGAGGGTTAATATATATAAATATTTAGGCATATATGTTGAATATACCCATGAGAGCTTGGAAGCTGAGATGAAAAGACTGTTGGGTCAATGTCGGAAGAGATTACATCCTCTGAAGGCTTTGGCATGCTGTGGAAAGGGAGTGCAAGTCCCGGTGCTACGAATGATATACTTGAGTACTGTAAGATCCCTTATTGATTATGCTGCACCTGTCATTTCTTGTTTTCGTAAAGGTAGGATGGGCAAGTTGGAGAAGGTATAAAATATATATGAAGCCATGAGAATTATCTTAGGATGCCCAAGAAATGCTATGATTGAGAAAATGAGGATGGAATTGAATCTATAGAGTATTGGGGATAGAATTAGCTTTGGCAAACTGCCACCTAGGGAAGGAGATGGGAGGGGTGAAGAGAGAAAAAGGAAACAAGGATGGGGAAATGGTCACTGTTATGGAGGTCATCAAGAACCCGCCATGTGAGATCTAAATAAAGAAGAAGAAGAGCAGAGAGAAAGGTCAAGACAAGAAAGGGTGCGAGTCCGAGAGTCCAAATGAGTGGGCTCACCAGAATTCAGAAGAGACAGGGAAGAAGAGAGGAGAAACGGCTCAAGGCGACCCCGGGTATTCGTCAGAACGTCACCCCAAAGAGAATGACAATTGAAGTCACCCAGCAGGAGCACAGGCTCCGGCAAGGAGTCTAGGTGGTGTTTCAAATTAGGAAGAGAAAGCGGGACACTCGGGGGGAGATAAATGGAACAAACTGTGTACCATTTCCCCACAAAGATACGAGCAGCAGAACAATGGAGAGGCGAAGGAAAAAGTAAAGGAACAAAGGGAACATCAGCATGAATCAAGAGAGCAGAAGAATTAGAAGCCCCAGCAACGGCTGGGGGGGGGGGGGGAGGAAGAGAAAGGAATAGCCACGAAAACGACCAGGACGAGCACCAAGCATCGGCTCCTGGAGACAGACACAAAGGGGCGAAAACCGCGAAATCAAAAGTTGGAGTTCGAGGAAATTGGCGTAATAACCTCGAACGTTCCATTGAAGAATGGACAACAACGAGAAGAGAAAAGACAAAAACAGAGAACAAGGAAGAAACAAAGGCGAAAGAGCAACAGAGCACGTTAAAGAATATCAGGGTCGGGATCAGGGTCAGCAAAGTCAGGGTTAGGGGGCATGGGTAAACTGAGCAAAGACGGAGGGAAGGAAACGGGAGAACAGATCAGAGGTGGGCGGGCGGGGTCCGGAGGAGGAGGAGGAAGAGGAGATAACGGTGAGGAGCAGTCAAGGACAGCAGCAGGAAGAGGGGGAGTAGAAAGAGGGGAGCGCACCTCAGCAAGAGCAGCAACCGAAAGGGAAGCAGGGGCCAAAGAAACCTCCATAGCAGGAACAGGGGGCGCAATCACTGAAATAGGAGGGGAAGGAGCAACAGAGCCAGAAGTAGGGGCCAAGGAAGAAAGCGAAGCCTTCTTACCTGCCGGGGAGGAGGAAGGAGAGGAGCCAGGCTTACGCTTCTGACGTAAAGAGACCGGTGTCTCAGCAACTACGTACCGGGCAACGGATTCCAGCGTCTCAACAGAAGCTGAACGAGAGCACACACGACGGCCGTTAGGAGAGCGATGGATATCCGCCTGCACCGACAGGCGGCGGGGAGAGCCAATAGAAGGAGGAAGAGGATGGGAAGGAGGATCGGAGGGAGACGAGGAAGAAGACACAGGAGACACGACAGACCGGGTAGAAAGAAGGGGAACCCCAGACAGAGGACCAGGAGGGGGACCCTTCGGGACAGAACTCAAAGGAACAGAGGAGGGGGCAGTGGGCGTATCAGGGTCCAAGGCCCGGAAACGGTTGAGAGTCTGAGGAGGGAGGGAAGGACGAGGAGAGGGAGAGCGCAACACGCGAGCATAAGAGACGTTAGCATAAGGCGGGAGCCGGCGAACCTGGCGCCTCGCCTCAGGAAAAGATAAACGCTCCCGGTGCTTCAAGTTGAGGACGGCCGCCTCAAGCTTGTAATGGATACAGGCACGGGAGAAGGTAGGGTGGGCCTCACCGCAGTTGAGGCAGCGAGCTTGGGGAGAAGAGCACTCCGACTTAGAGTGACTTTCACCCCCACACAAAGGACAGAGAGAGACAGGCCCAGAGCAGCGGAGGGCACCATGCCCAAACCTCCAGCACTTGTTACACAGCCGAGGAGAAGGAATATACTCCTGGACAGAGCACCTAGCACCAGCAAGAATGACAGAGGATGGAAGGGTCCTACCATCAAAGGTGATCTTTACAACACGAAGGGGTTGACGGAGACGACCACGAGGGGGACGAGTAAACGAGTCAACCTGGAGGACAGAATGGCCTTGGGCATCAAGGATATGCCGAATATCATCGTGGCAATCCTGCAGATTCCGAACACCGGTTGCAACATGGGGCGGGAGGAGAATAGTGCCAACACTGGCATTCATCTGAACATTCTTAGAGACCCGAACAGGGATCTCGCCAAGGCAAGACAAGGCTGCCAAGCGGGAAGCTGCATCCTGAGAAGGAGCAGCAACGACACATGTACCGAGACGAGTGGGGTTGAATGTAACAGACGCATCCACGGAATCAACAAGATGCCGATGGAGGGAGAAATCGTCAGGAGGCGCAGAATCAAGAGGGAGGAGATCAAAGTATTTGGCCCATGAAGCGGGACCAAACAAGGCCTGATACGCGGCAGTACGGGAAGGAATCGAGCGAGTGCGGCCGGAGCGCGAACGGCGTTGAGAACCCCCAGAGAGAGAGGGGTTAAAAGGCGCAGTAGTCACAACGAGAGACTTAGCCGCACCAGGGGATGAAGTGGTCACTACTGGAGGCTGGAGGCTCGACCCAACCACAGAGGAGGGAGGGGAGCTGGGGGAAGAAGTCAGGACGGTCAAAGGAGGAGCAAGGTCGGGGCCGAATGCAGCAGGAGCTACAGAGCCTGGTCTTCCAATACAAGCCGACTCGGGGGCTTGGTCGCCCACCCCACGAGCCTGAGAGGGCACAACGGAAACATTTATCGACATAGAGACGAAGAGAAAAAATCATCCACGAATGTGCCCCCATACCTACCATGGAGCCACAATTAGAGGCAGAACACCCAACAGGAAGCTATCGCCGATCATGCCGGGGCCTCCTAGGGGTGCGTCGTGAGTATACGCCCCACAAACGCCACCTTAAGAACCGTCAGTCCGTCGAGATCGGGTTCAGCGACGAAAGGGGGATTGACAATAAAAGGTTCCCCTCGCTCGAGACGTCGGGTACAACAGTTCTACGGGTGCAAGAGTATGCCTCCTCAAACACCCGGGCGTCAAAATAGAAGAAGTCCAAAGAAAGATCCAAAACAAGCAAAAGGTCGGCAGGAAACGACAAGCAGATAGGAGAAGAGGGGGGAGAAAAACGAAACAGAAGGAAAAGGTGCTCAGCACAATTGGAGAGGACGGCAGTAGGAGAACAAGGCTAGAAAAGGACAGAGGACTGCCCCAAGGAGCATCACACTCCGGCAGCCGCCCACTAAGGCCCCCTCACGGCATCAACGAGCTGAGCGGCGAGGGGGGTACATTCTTGTAAAGCCGCTAACACTAAATTAATAATTTTGGGGTTCAGTTCCTGGTCCCATGATGTGGCTAACGTTTCCACTATCGCCCACAGGATGGGTGTGTGGTGCATGAAGACTACGCTAACGCTACATAAAGATCCATTAGTGTGTAGATATTGAAATACTTCTCCATGGTATTGTCACCGACAGTGAGCTACTCATACTGGAAGTATTGATGCTCATGAGTTATGGGGGGAAAGAAAGTCAAAATACATTTTTGTTATAGTAACAGCATTTTTTTTTATTCATGTAGGCTAAATTACTAATGGAACAATTATCGACTTTGACAAGAATATAATATGCATGAAATCCATTTCAGTGATGTATACTAATTTAAATAAACATTATTTAATGTATTTCACCCTTTTAAACAACAAGTTTTAAACAAAACAGATTGCTTTAAAACAAAAACAAGTGGCTAAAATAACAAGACATAACTAAACAAAGACCTAGATACATTACTGAATAAATACAATACTCATAAGTATGGTCGTGTGTAACACCTGCATATTGAAACTTTCAATTTATACACACTTCACATGTTCAAATCCATTCATTTCCCGAGATCTGTGGAAATGCTTTTAATTCACTTCAAACACAAAGGAATACCGGGTGTATCAATAAATCTTACGTAATATTATGTGTAGGAAAACATAGGTAAAAGCCTTGCCCTATGGTTTCACTCAGGGTTCTAATGAGTATATATATATATATAGGGCCTCGAGTGATCAAAACAAGAGTTAATGAAAATTAAGTAGCGGGCGCCTCAATACTGCTATCTTCCTTGACTTCCTCCGCCTCAACCTTACCACTCTCATCATTTTTTATGTCTTCACTCTTTGACCTGACACCATTAGAGTTATTGTTAAGAAGATAAGGATTGATGTAATTAAAAACATTACTCATGGCTGGGTTTAGATAGTTAGTCCACATGGGTGTATCAAATGCAGCATTTGTCTTTTCTCCACCCCAGAGAGACATCATCATGTAGTAGTTAAGCATAGCAGGCGACATGGGAGGCGTCAGCGAGGAGTTTAGTGGCACACCCATTGGAGTAGTTGGGCAAGTAGGTTGGGCGACTACCGAATGCTGGTTGTTTCTGACCTGTTGCAGCCCCCACATGGAGAAGGGCGTCGGTGAAGTGGCCGGCACTCCTGAACGCTGAGAGCCCGTATGCCGACGGAGAGGTACCTGGGCCCCGGCCAGGTGAACTGGCACACTGGTCACTGAACTAGGTGGAATGCCAGCAAAGCGGTGAGCTCTGGAGTGATTGACGAGCGGATCCAGAGATTGGAATGCTGTGTCACACAACGCACAAGCGTATGAAACCTCTGTGTGTAAGGCCATATGACAGTCTAGGTTGAGACTGTAGGTAAACTGGGTATGACACACACCACAACGGAATAATTGCCGTCCACTCTCGTCTTCCTGAGGGCAAGAATTATCATTATTATTAGAAGGGCCCAAGTGCAATGCTCTCTGGTCGTAAAGGGCGTCACGGCCGTGCAGCTCCAGCAGGTGCAGCTCTAGGTACATGACGCCAATGAAGGAGCCGCCACACAGCCCACACTCGCAGTAGTCGTCGACATCACGAGTGTGACCCTCTCGATGCAGCTGTTGGTGAGCGTCGCGGCCGTGAGTGGTGAGGAATACCAGAGTGCAATGGCTGCAAGGAGCACCATCACCACGATGTGCTGCCTGGTGGGCATTCCACCCGGTGCCAGTAACTGCTACTGCTCCGCAGTCAGAGCACACTGCACCGAACTCAATCCCAGACCCCGAGGGATTTTTACTAGGAAAATCGTCAAAGCCAATTCCCGAATTAATTCCAAGCTCTGGGCGTATTTTACGTGGGCTTTGTCCGTCCTTTTCACTGCAGCTACGTGATCTCTTGCTTTTCCCACGCACACTTTGTCGATCTTCCCCGTCCACCGACACTGGTGTTCTGACTGCTGCAGTCTGACTACGGGTCACCATCCTGGATGGAGGAGGGGGAGTTCTGCGATCCTGCCCTCGACCCGCTATCTTGCTCTCACTCTTCCCAGAGTCTGAACCATTGGGCGTACTGCTTGAGATGCTGTTCACCATGTTATTACCAATATTTTTCCTTACATTATTGACCTTGCTGGTGTCGGTGCTGGATATGGTGGCTACACTGCTGGAAATACTGCTTACACTGTTCGCCGTAGTGTTGACTATACTGCTGGATGTAATATTGGCAGTGGTGTTTGGGGTGTCGGTGACACCATTGTAGGCAGTGCCAGAGACGCTGTTGGCTGAGCTTGTTGCCAGAGTGAAGGACTTGAGACTGGGCAGGTCAGAGGCGCTAGAGGCGGAGGTTGTGGTGGTGGTGAGGGGGGTGGAAGGGGTAGTGGAGGAGGGATAAACACTGCTAATTTCATTCACACTCTCAATGAACGATGACACGGTAGACGAAGCTGTCTCATAGGTGGGAAGGACAAGCGCAGGTCTGGCCGAGTGCAGGGCAGGAGTTACCAGACTTCTGTATGGTGGGCATGGTCCTCTCGTCAGCCCACTACTATTTGCTGACTGTTGCTGCTGTGGTAGACGTAAACCATAATAAGCTAGCTGTCCTCTAGGCCCCAGCATAGCCTTCAGCTGTTGCTGCTGCTGCTCTTGCATTATCACTCAAGTTGTGCCCTCTTTGTGATTGCAGTCAATTGTAGGAGTGGTGGTCTTAGTCAAATGTAGAGGTGGGTAGCGGTGCGGCTCGCAGTCTAAGATGGTAACCAGTGGTGGTTATTGATTATAACATATGATGATTAAAGCAAGCTGTTCTGGAACCAGTTTGCTAAATCATTAGGGGTGCCAGCGGTCGTCATATCCAAGAGTTGAGAAAACGGGGGCTGTATTCGCTGCCAGTGGAGGCAACGGGGGCTGTATTCGCTGCCAGTGGAGGCAAAGGGGGCTGTGTTTGATACCAGTGGAGGCAATGGGCCTGTATTCGCTGCAAGTAGAAGCAACGGACCTGTATTCGCCACCAGTGGAGGCAACGGGCCTGTATTCGCCACCAGTGGAGGCAACGGGCCTGTATTCGCCACCAGTGGAGGTCCGGCCCTGTATTCACTAGCAGTGGAGGCTACAGTAGACATCAGTTTCACATGGTAGATTCAGTCGCTGTACACATTCCCACAACTGACAAATTTAGAAAAAAAATATACATATAAGTGTGATGTACAGCACAAAGACCAAAAATTATACTTGTTACTCCAAACGAACCAGCTAATCAAGGATAATTTTCAATAATCAATAATATAAAAATAATTGCTATAATAGTGCTACCTCATTATGTGATATAATTGGAACCAATATAACACTGGTTAGTGTGTCTGACTCTCTTGAGGAATGTACTTCAATGATCTACTACACCTCATCCCAGGAACTTAGGAGTATGTTGATGACTGGACTTTAACCTTTACCTATATAACAGAGGAAAGTACTGTGTAGAACATTAATCCCTCTTGTAAAAATAACTACCTGGGGTAGGTGATAGCAGGCTTCATTTACGACTAACAAATACGATGGTAATTATATAAGTAATTGTCAAAAGGAAGGCTCCAAGCCGGGAAAACTATATACCACCGATTGTGTCGTGGGATATTCAAAAGGCATTAAATATCAGTCATGATGCTAATATTAGAACAAAGGGACACAAAGCGAGCGATATCAAAGGTATCAGATGCCCCAAGGATTCTGTCAAGGAAACTACCCAGAAGGGACATTAAGAAAGGGAGACTTACAACCTTCCTGAAAATCGAGACATCTACAAAGGTGGTGCATGACTTAGTACAATAGGGGGAGGGTGAGGTACTATTAAGTGACTGAGTTACGCACGTGTGGACTATATATAACCTAGCCAGGGCCGGTTCCCACCATCTATTGCGGTGGTAGGAAGACCAAGAGAATATGTCAACTTTAAGAGTGGAGTTTGTTACCTGTAATGCCAGACTACTGACACTGCCAACAATTGTGATCGGACTGGATAGAAACCCGAATAAGACATTCCTTTTTTTCGTAAGTGGGACGGGTGGCAAATGGCTTCCTTAGCAACAGTGTCTGCAAGTTCATTTGAGATAACAATACAGCTGAGAGCCCTGCGAAATACGACTGTCGGCTAGAGATACATAGCCAATATTGATTTCAACCGCCAGAGGATTGGTGTTACATAGTTATCCCGGTATGGTGCGTGCTTCTGATAATTACTTACCGCCAGAGGATGTAAAGGGTTAAGACTCCAGAACCATGAGGGCACTGCCAGAGTCAACCACAAAAACAATGGAACATTGACGTTGGAAAACAGTTGACGAAGAGTATACAAAACTGCATAAAGTTCCACCGTGAAGATGCTAGTCTCCAGGGGTGGGTGGTCAACACCGTCGGCAGACTTAGACCCATCTGTGAATAAAGCAATGGAGAGTGAGAGGAAAAATGTTCAAGAAAGAAGTTTCGTGACAGTAGGAGTTACAAGCCTTCAATCATGCGAGTCAGTGCCTTGCATAATTTCACAAGCAGGACCCTCCATGGGGTCAAAGTCATCACCCAGCAAAAGTCTGCGATGAGAACTATAACAAACTATCTTCAAACAACACACAGCCCCCTCAGTTTAAATCCCTAAACATACTAAACACACACTCTTGTGCTATTTATGTGTACAAAACCTTGTTCTTAAATGTTTATCCTCCGTGTATACACAGGATAAATGTTTACACACACACACCTTCAAGAACAAGAGGTCATAGATTAATTAGACTAATTAAACAAAGGTGCCGAAGAAATATAAGAAAATTCACTTTCGCAAACAGAGTGGTAGACGGTTGGAATAAGTGAGGTGAGAAGGTGGTGGAGGCCAAAACCATCAGTAGTTTCAAAGCGTTATATGATAGTGTGTTGGGTAGACGGGACACCACGAGCGTAGCTCTCATTCTGTAACTACACTTAGGTAAGAGTTCTTACATTCTTGTAAAGCCACTAGCATACATAGCGTTTCGGGCAGGTCCTTAATCCTAATTTTTCCCTGGAAAACAATACGTCAAATCGTTTAACAACCAGGGACCCATTCATTGTTGGGTGAACAGTTAACGATTGGCACCCGGTCAATCCTCCCCGGCCAGGATACGAACCCAGGCCAAAACACTCGCGAAGCACCGGGCGAGTGCTTTACCAATACGCCACGGGGACTGCTAAATAAATATCTAAATCTAAATAATGTTGTAAATAACGAATTAAAGAAAGTCCACTCGTTGATGTCAACCAATAAACCCACACTAATCATAAAAAAGACCTATTACATTTTATTTTGAAGCAAATTAACAAATACAATTCAGATAGATAATGTTAACATCAGCAATAACAATGATAGAAAGTTCCTTGGCCTAGACATGGACAAGATACTCAACTACAGCCCCCACATGCAACACAATCCAAATAGCCTCAAAAAACGGATGGTATACTTTCTAAAATCAGATGTTCCAAACTCTGCTCTCCTCTCACTATACTACGTGATAATCTATCCCTATCTTGCATATGGTATCTGTGCATGGTGTTTAACCACTGCAAACTACCCTAAGCTATCATCACTCGGCAAAAATCTGCTATCAGAACAAACTGTTTTCAGACAACACAGCCCCACTCCTGTTTAAATCCCTAAATATGCTGAACAATCTCACTCTACACATTCTCTTGTGCCATTTACATGTACAAAACCTTGTTCTTAAATGCAAATCCTGATCTGAAACTCTTCCTTGACAGATGTAATAGAACCCATAATCACCATACCAGAAATAAATCTCTCTTATATCCCCCAGAGTCAAACTAAATCTGTGTAAACACACTATGCAAATAAAGTGATCTAATCTGTGGAACACTAATGAGTTGAAAAGCTGTCCAACCTACGCCTTATTCAAAAGTAAAACCAAAAAGTACCTAATTTTAGCCTCATAGTTTCCTTACCAGTTTCCTACCTAGTGCTTTAAACTCGCACCGGTGCTACCCACTTCCTCAATATGTACCTATGCCATATAACTACTTCCTTGTAATCACTGCTTTCATATGTTATGGTTGTTATACTGAACGCACATTTTACTACAATATACCTAGAAATAATCCTCAAATTATGCTACAATGTACCTGTTGATAATCCTCAAATTTTACTAAAATGTACCTACTAATCATCAAATTTTCTTACAATGTAACTTTTAACATTTTTCAATTTTGCTAGAAATGACCTACTTAAAATTATCTTAGATTAAGAACCAGCCCGAAACGCTTTTTTGCAAACTTATGGCGGCTTCTGCCGCCATAAGTTTAGGTGTAAAACAGTGTGCAAAGGTCATGGCTGATGTGACCTTCACCAATGGATCTGATAACCTTTCATTCCACTCCCAGCAATGTTAGAGAAGCCCATAGTTTACTCAGTCAGACATGTATGAATGAAACTGCATTCTGATTGGTGCTCTATGGAGGCTCCCAACATAAGTGATGAGGCATGAATTCAGCCTCTTTGAGCGCCATCTTATCATCCTCAGCATAGCTACACAGGCATCATCACATGTGCTCTGTTGAGCTCCCGAGCACCGTCACCCTTGACGGCTACATTTGCTAACTCCAGACTCGCCCTGAGAGAGAGAACTCGCAATGGGAGAGATTGCTCCAATTCATTGACAGCTAACAAGTGCACATGAATGTGTGGTGTGGATGTTAAGTAAGTACGCTATTTACGTAAGCATTATTAACTCATTCCATGGTGTCAAGTGCAGCCTAGTGAGCTTGGTGTATGTCCCTGACTGTTTGGTGCGACCATTCAGAGCAAGACATCCTATAGAGTGCCATTTCTTGACCGGGTGTGTGTTTTTGAATGTATTTACAAAACATGTCAGTTTTATATGCATGCATTAATTTCCAGAGGATCCTTTAGAGCTTCAAACTGTCCCTATGCACACGGCAGTGGTGTTCAGACAGCCATTTTGCTTGAGCTGTTCATATTAACAGTGTTAAGTTAGGTTCCATTACATCATGTGTATTGTCGGCAAGAGGCAAATCTATACTATGCATAGATTTACCTATGTCATCTCAAAGTAAAAACAATTATCCCCAATTTCCATGTGTGTGTATACACATTTCCTTGCGTGTTCTTATTTAGCGAATAAATTCCTATGTCAAGCACATGGTTTTTCTGGAAATCCTTTCTCCCTCGTATTGCAAAACTTTGCCCTGATGTGATGAAATTGGTGCCACAAACTGATGATCCTCCGCCTATACTAGCTTGTCAAATCTGATGAACCGAAATATGATTTCCCTGCATCGCCAGGTCGAGATCAGGAAGATGATCTTGCCAGATCTCGATATAGGCAAGATCAGGAGCTTGCCTATATCTGGCAAGATCAGGAGCTTGCCTATATCTGGCAAGATCAGGAGCTTGCCTATATCTGGCAAGATCTCAAGATCTTGAGCCAGTTGCTCTAGGCATTTTACATTTTTTATAACCGTTTTGAGCAGTTGATATTCCTGCCCAGCTCAACTGCACACTTCAGCGGTCCAAGCTTAATGTAATCTCGGGGCAGGAGGTACTAAACTCTAGCTCAGTGTCACTGGCAAGTATTCCATGTTAAGTGCTGGAGGGAGTACTCAAGTTGAGAATAGTGGGGCAACTGAAGAGGATAAACTAACAAAACGATAGCATAGATTTAGAATGGTAGAATCGTGCCTGATGAACTTGATCGAGTTCTGTCTGTCATAGATAGAAGGCAACTACAGGAATAGGAGAGATATATATTTTGGAATAGATATAATTCCAACACTAACACAGCATATGGGACGCTGGTGAATATTAGAACGTCAGTTAGAAACCTAAATCACGATACTTTCAAGGCAATTTACACAGCTTTTGTTAGATCAATACAGTTTCGGACTATGTAGCACAAACCTGAACTCATACCCCATGAAGCATAAAACTTGAATTGAAAAGTGCAGAGGTTTGCAACAAGATTAGTGCCAGAACTAAGAGGGTTAATCTGTGATGATAGGTTGAGTTGATCTCAACCTTTGAGGACAGGAGAAACAAAGAGGGATATGGTTACAACATACAAGATACTAGTGAGGGGTATAGACAAAGTAAACAAGGACAGATAGGTTGAGAGAAAGTTGGACAAGAGCACACAAGTGGAAGCTCGAAACAGAAATAAGTTTCTAAGAAATGTAAGAAAATACCGTACTCCTCCCCAATTAACAAGTGGAATACTCTGAAAACATTTGTGGAACCCCCCTCCATCTACAACTTTAAGAACAGATTCCACAAAGAATTTGAACGTTGGAGTAGTTATACACAACAGGTACAACAAGGCTCGTGGAGGTAGGGGGGGGGGAGCATAAAGAGCTAGGCCTTGCTTCTTCGTAGTCACTGACAAGTAACCATTCACCTCAACACCTTCATTCATCACCCCTTCTACCACTTCCGCTCAGAGGACTCTGGTTCAACCATGACGACGAGCGGTCGTCCGGACTCCACTACCACCTGGGAGCCGCCGGACTACGTTCTGTTTCGCTGTTTTGGATTTGACACTGCCGTTTGGCACTCTTATTCAACGGTTCGGATTGTTACGACGCTTGGCACACATATTGCCTTGGATGACAGGATTGTTTCTGGATTTTGTACGTTTTCTGACTGGTTCTCCCGGCGGGGTGACGGTGTCCGGCCCTCAGCCGTGGTGGGCGTCTGGCTTCTGTTCTGCCGGATGTGTAACACCATAAGGGTGTTTTATTGAATATTTCACATAAAACATCAGTCAGCCAGACAAGATATTTGAATGCACCAAATTGTCTGACCTTCGCAATTAAAAAGTCACACCTCTAGAGTGTTAATTACAACAGGTAAGACTGGGTGAGGTGACCTTACCCTCTGCTAAGCCGATAATTGAAGACGGCTTGCTGGGTTGTGCCCATCAAACAAGCCGCTGTTTAAGGTGTGGTAGGTAGAAAGCCTGAGGCTATTTACTTTGTAGGTGGAGCTTAACTCCCGGTTCCCCCATAAATACCCAGGGAACTGTACATTCGAAATCAGACACAGACGGGAAAGACACACAAGATTGAGCAGCAGCGAGAGTTAGATCGCTTGTCAAGAGGTCCCAGCGGCCAGACTGACCTCCTCAGGCCAGGTAGGGGACTGTGTCAACTACAGCTTTCCCCCCCCCCCCTCTCTATCCAACTTAGGCTCAGAGACTTGGCGTGTGAACTGTCAAGGTAACAAATTTTGTGTTTCCAACTTAAGGTGTTGTGTGGTTTTCAGGGGCAGTCAGCCGTAGTGTCCTCAAATTCTTGTGTGGTGACAAACATTTATGTATTCATGTTGACATTTAAATTTACCCGATTAACTTGTGC